AAACATACTAAAATTAAATAAATCAAATAAACTGCATGGTAATGAGAGTGTAAAATAATAAATCATGTCTGGGAGGCAGAAACACATGTATAAATGCTGACCTAAATGTTTCTCTGACAACCTTAAAAGGAAGCAAGGCACATCTGGCAGCTGATTCCAACAGCTTCCAGGATAAAAGCATATTCAGCAGCTTCTGACTTAATCCATAAAAAAACAAGCCTTAAATAGCTTTGTAAGCAGAGCGTAAGTTCACTCTAAAACCAATAAGAGACCCTACGATCAAAAAGCATTTATCTTTTTCTGCTTTCCAGATCATGTTAAATTGAAAGTTGTGAACGACAGGTTAAGATTTATTTTCAGTAAACTCACAAGTTTAGAATCCTGGGCATCGCTGCAGGGCTAATATTATACTTCTGTACGAGACGTTTTCTTTTAGTGGATTTTACATTTTCCTGAATGTTGCACTGAATCTGAAGAAACCTCTGACTGAAGACACTGTGCCTTCCCAAGACAGTCTTGTGACAGAGGGTTTGCTGAAGCAGGTGTGTGATGCCACCATCAACTCCATTTCCACGGCAATAAGCAAACTGCAGATAGTCTTGCTAGATCCTTGAATGCTAATTCAGGTGGGAAAACAGGAGTCCCTCCAGGACCTTCAAGTTGTGGAATGTCGGGGCTACAGGTTTATAGTTGCTGAAGACTGATGGTGAGTTTTCTTTCTTCAGTACTGGATTCAGTGCAGTACAGACCGCTGCAGAAGATCTTTCCTTCCAACAGCCATCACCAGGTACAGTTACTCTTTGTAATTGTACCTGGTGGAATCGGAAACCAACTTTAGCTTTGTCCAACCAGGTGTGTTACATTGACAGACATATAAGCTTGATTGGAACAACTAAAAGCCATGAATAAACTGGCAAAAACAACTTTGGAAAGCATTTTAATACTTATGTAAGTTGTTGTAGAAAACTGGTTATTATTATTATTATTATTTTTAAATGAATAACTGCTTAACAATTTGAGATGCTCCCATGTTTCCTGTATTGGTTTAATCCGACTCATTTATTCAGATTTCAGACTTCAGATGAATCTTCTTTAAGTTTTCCAGTGATGGAATCCAGCCCTGTTTCATCTGAAAGCAAAACAATATCTACTAGTGCAAGAAAAACCAAAAAAGAAAACATACTGTCACAAAGATTTGTGCTTCGGGGGGCTGATTCTTTGCAACACAGAGTGATGTTCCACTCCTTCGGTTTATGTATGTTGCAGTCCCCAGTCTGTTTTGTATATTTACGCATCCCTGAATCTGAACCTCCTCAAAAATCAATAACTACCAGCTTCTAAGAGAGCCGGTAACCTCAGAGAGATTAGTCACTGTTAAAAGCAGGGATTAAAAACTGTTTTAAATGTTCCATGTCATGCCAAAGAAGCTGGAGTTTTAAGGTTGAAGCCATTGAAAAGAATGGGATCCTTCTCTTTCTGTAAAGCAGCACTTGGTGTGTTTTTTCTTTCTTTTATTTTTTTCCCTCGTCACTCAACCATGGTGCATTGGTGATGCTGCCTCAGGCTCTCGCCGTTGCTTTGTTGGGCTCTGTGTGTCCTCTGTCCTGCAACAACTTAAAAAAAGGCAAAAAAAAAAAAAAAAAAAAAAAAAAAAGGACTTAAAAGACGTCCAGATCTGGGTTGCATGTGGAGCTGCTGCACAAAAGGAAGTCGGCTTGCATGAAAAGCACGTTTCATTATTATTATTTTTAGACTGTATCGAATAAGAAATAAGAACCACAAACAGCTTTCCGCTTGAATTTTGATCAAACCTTACTAAAAATACACACAAGTGTTTCCCTCTGCAGCCGAATTCACTGCAGCTGTGTTACATTCTCTTCCTCTTGTTACCTGTTTCTCATGGGAAGCCAAATCTGTTGGCTCTGACCTGTTTTTCTATTTACACTTCACTTGTTCAGAATGAACGCTGCCAGACAGCGATGGACCCTGTGGCTGAGCAGGCGAACAGCGCCACCTACGTCCAGCGTGTAGAAATACACGGGGAGAGGACAGGGACCCTTGTCCGACGTGCATCTGTGGATGATGACTTTTTTTGTTGTTTTTGTTTGTTTGTTTGTTTGTTTGTTTGTTTGTTTTAGTCTTATGCATAACTCTTAAGATTTTGACTGCAAAGTTTTATTTATAGGAACAAAATACATCTTTAAAAATTGCTTTTGGAAGACACGTCCATGCTGTTGCCAACTTTTCCAGAACCAGAGCCAAACATGGAGAAGCAGCATTCAGTTTTCAAGCTCTGCTAATCTGGAACAAAATTCCAGAAAACTGCAAAACTGCTGAAACGTCGACTTCCTGTAAATCAAGGCTAAAAACTCACCTGCTTGGAGCTGCTTTTGATTTATAACAACTGGAACACTGACCAACATATTCGATGTGTGTCTGCCTGATGATTTTGATTATTGCATTTGACAAAATGTAATGTCTGCAATTTTGACTTTTAAGAAACTGTGATAATTTTAAGAAGCACTTTTGCTTGTAAAGATTGGAGTTGACCAGTAGGAGTTTCTCCCAGTGTGATAATTTGGTGTTTGGACGTTTAGCTTCAATAGTTTTCTCTTTTGATCAGTTCTTTATGTTTGTTTTGTTCTATATTGCCATTTTAGTTTATTTCTTGTGTTTTGGATTAGTTTCATTAGATTAATATCTATTTCTGTTTGCAGTTCAGATTTTTTGTTTTCCTTTTTTTGCCCCTCTTTGGTTTTTGGTTTGGTTTTGCACCTCTCCTTAACCTACCGTCCCGCTCCCTGTCCCAGCTGTTAATCATTTCCTCATTTGCTCATACCTGCTCCTTTTCCAACTGCATCCACTCACCTGTAATTAGCTCTTCTGGCTCTTTTGTCATTTCCACTCCCTCCTTACAACATATAAACTCCGCCATTTCTTTTTCTTCTTCAATGTTTCCAACTTGTCTCGTCAATTCTTCTGTTGAACTAAGGATTTGTTTCAAAAAACTTTCATCATGTTCATTCCCAACTCCACTCTGCAATTTGGTCAAACCTCGTGACAACTTATACGTGCGTGCTCCCGTGCAATAATACTCACTAAACCCACCACAGTTTCATGGTTTCTCTGAAAAAAAACAACAACAACAAAAAATGTTCAACAAGATCTAACTGCTAGCGTTTAAAACAAAAAAACAATATTTTGTGTGATGTTGTAATGTTCTAATTCTATTTGGGTCACAGAAGCATTTATATATATATATATATATATATATATATATATATATATATATATATATATATATATATATATATATATATATATATCTTTAAGCAAAAATAGAGCTTCAAATTTAAGATATTTGCTTCTCTAAATAGTGAAGAATTAAGGCAACACTGTTTGCAAGGTCAGTCTGCCCATTTACTTGTTTATTTCATGTTTTGTTCACAGCTTATTATCACTTATTTCAGTAACTCCTAATTTAAAGGGAGGGGAGGGGGGCAGCTTCCACTGCCACGCTGGGAAAATTACATTTATGATTGCTAGACTTCACAAAGCCATTCTAAGAGCCATACGGGACGAAATGAAAGCGCTTCACAGGCCGTGAGGATTCCCCAGGAGGAGAAAAACCGATTCCAATGTGTGAAACTGGTGATGCTTTGACTGCAACAATAACAAGCGAGGACAACGTAGTTTGTTTATCCTCGTTTGGTGAATCTGCTTTGGGGAAACGATCAATGGATGTAGCAGAAAATCTATCGGGCAACAAACACTTTTTGGCTTAGACATATTTAATCCAAAGATAACACGATAATGAGCAACATCCTGGTATGACGCTAATCCGTCCTCTAATCTCCGTCATGTTTTTAACACGCAGCGGGGTGGCAGAGGCTCCACTTAATGCATTTCACTCATTTTAGTTCAGAAGAAATCCTTGGTTAAAGCCGATTCAGATGAGGATTTATTTGCAAGTGGCGCCACCTGTTGGTTAGATACATATTCACCTCGCTCTATGATTTAGCCATGCTTATTCCCTCATTCATTCCTCATTCAAACATGGTTCCTGCTTTCATTTTCAACAAATAAATGGAGTAATACTGTCTTGAAGGGAGTGAATATTTTTTGAATCACTTATTTGATTTTTATTTAATTGTCATCATTTTGTAGAAATAAGTTTTCAACATTAAAAGGCTTAATGTGTGTTTTTATAAAACAATTATGTACACACGGGAATACATTTTTTTACATGTTTTGTAGACTTTTTTATTATTGTTTTGTATGTACGTTTACATTAAACAAATTACCATAATCTTAAGACTAAGTTTTCTCTTTAATTATAATTTTTTTTAACCTTGTGTCATCCTGACTCCTAGTGGCCTGCTTTGGAACTACAGCATAATCTGTAATGTTCAGTACACACACACCCACTTATAAGAAGTTGGAAAAACTGATTACAATTACTATTCAACTTAATAGCATGTAACTTGCTATTCGTGAGTTATATACAATTTAATGACAAAGTACAACTCAGTTTGTTTGTTAATTAACGGAACATGTTTTGCATGAAAACAACAACAACAACAACAGCAATAATAATTTTGGACTGACAGAATTAAGGATGTGCTTCATATTGTAATTTAAATATTAGATAAATAATTTATCTCTCTCTCTCTCTCTCTCCCTCTCTCTCTCTCTCTCTCTCTCTCTTTCTCTCTCTCTCGCTCTCTCTCTTTGTTTGTGTGTTTCTCTCTCTCGCTTTCTCTCTCGTTCTCAATTTAATTTTAGTCTGAATGAAGAAGTGGGATTCGACAGATTTTTACCAGAAATCGCAACTGAATATAATTCTGCCACCATACAGGCTCACAGCACTGTAAGGTCACAGTTAGGGTGCGGATAAATCAAGCCCCGCCTTCACGTCGACTACTCAAACGTTCCCATTGGAGCGTGTTTTTAATTGACGTTCCTCTCGTCCAATAGGAGGGCGCGAACCGACTCCTGGGCATACAGCCGCGCAGACGTGTGAGCAGGTCGCAGCTCAGGAAGAGTCAGTGACAGCAGGAACAGCTACTGTGAACTGGTGACAAATTAGAGTGTGTTGAGCAAGCAAGGTGAGCTTTATTTGATGTTTTTTTTTCGCCGTTTCACCTGTAAACTCTGCGCAGGATGAATGCTTATTGTCATTATCGTACTTCCTGGTTGGAGTTAGGTTGTGTGGTATTTATTAATTTGCTCGAGCACAACTTTTATGAGCTAGTTTCTTTAGCTAGTCCTCGTGGTTATTTATAGCGTCACATTTCTGTATTTTGTTAGGGTTTATTCGACTCTTGTGTCTGTTTTGTATGTGTTACAACCTCTTGTAAACCAGTACCAACTTTTGTAGCTATTTTTTTTTAAATCACCAAACCCAAGTTTTAGTAGACTAATAATAACGGTACTAACTTACATTTTGTTTTGAGCAAAATGTGTCTATTTTGCTGGCCTTACTAAGTGACCTCAAAACTTGCTAAGCAAATGTCTGCTGCCCATTAATACCAAATAAGTTACTGAGTCAGCTGTTTTATGTCTCAACGAGCTTGATAAGTGATTTCCTGATTCGCCTCCTTCGAACTTCATGCGGTCATAACCAGTTTATGTAGCTGTAGTTGTGCAGATCTGCTCTGCTTGAAATCTGACCCACACCAGTGGACAGCCAAGGAGACTGCCAAGAAAATGGCATTAACCTGGCAGTTAGAGGTCATTCAAATAATTTGCCCTTGTCTCAAGGTGCACTTTTGTCCCTTCTGACAACACCTTCCCTGTCCTGTTAATCTGCAATCTCTCAGCGCTTTACACTTAAATGCCTCCTTGGAAATAATGCACACTCTGAAGATTTTTCTCCTTTTTGTTTCCTTGCCTGGATTCTGAGTATTATGACTATTAGACACTGTAACCGTGTCGGGTAAACCATGTCCTGTGTTGGCTAATAACATTACAGAGACTTTGCTCTTAAGTTCTTGCAACTGCAACAGTTGCTGCTATTAAACAATCTTAACCTGTAGGATCAAAAAGGACTTGAGAAACGAAAAAAAAAATGCTCTTTTACCAACTCAACAATAAATGATTTGTTGCTGGAAAGGGATGTGTAAATAATTCTACATCCAAACTTTAAAGTTTTGTTGTTTGTTGCAGATTTGCCAGTAAACTAGAATTTGTTTTTTCCAATAAGATCAGGATTGACATCCCTGTTTCTTTGAAAATGCTTGCTGTATTTAGCCAAGTTTAGTAAATCCAATATTTATAACTTATCAAACTAATCAAAATGTGCATTTTGAGAAAAGGTCACACATATACACATATGTAGTTTTGCAAGAATGTGCAAAAAGCATGGTCATTTTTTGTGAAGATTTTACTTTGTAGTAATTAGCCCAAACTGAAAAAAGAAAACAGGTGTTCCAACTTTAAAAATTAATTTGTCACAAGTAATCAAATTAAGTTTAGCCAAGTAAATATGTTAAGTTTATTAAGTATGTCATGTTAAGTAAATTTATTTTGACAAACTTAATTTGATTTCATGTCACAAGTTAACTTAATTTTTTTAAAGTTGGAGCCCCACTCTGTCTTATTTTTTCAACGTACCAAAAAATTAGAATAATTAACATATTACATTGAATAATGAATAGATTGAAAATAAACACAAATAATAATAATGCAACCATCAGACCTTCCCTGATTTCTGTTTTCCTTCATATCTCATTTGAACATTTTTGATTTTGCCTGATTCTCTTTTTTTATTATTATTATTTTTGGGATGAGATCACATGCAGGAAAACACAAAATGTGAGGCAGGTTTTTTTTTTAAATTTGATCCAGGAAATGTTGCCCAAATAACTCAGAAACTTCACAAAGCTCCCCTGTTCAGCTCTGCCTCTCACCGCTTCCCTTGAAAATGCCACCGTTTGACCCAACCTTTCAGCGGACTACGTAAATAGTCTGTTTAGGTAAAAACAAATAGAGGGGATTTAAAATGTATCCAACACAAAACCTGTGGTCAAACTCTCGTCTGGAAAAATGCGTGGGAGTGTCTGGGAATGAGTGTTGAAGCTAGGAAGATATTAAACCGTAGACAGACAGATGTCTGAGTTACCAGCAGAGGCCTCTGCTTGCTCTCAACCAACCTTGAAAACTGGAGGAGGTTTTTAAATCTGAATCTAAAAGCCTGGTGTGGTCAGGCCCAAAGAGATGGCCCTTAATTTTGCTTTTCATTGCTGTTGGGGAGAGAAAGGCCTTGTGATTTTCTCTTTCACTTTCACTTTCTTTTGATGGAAAATGCCTTCACTGTCTTTTTTTTCTAAGATCTTTTTCATGTTAAGTGTTAAGTGGAGACAAGTAAATTTTGCCACAGCTGCAGTTTGTGTCTAGGTTTTTTTTTTTAATGAATGTAAATAAATGCATGAATTTCCTTTTTAACTCTCTTTCTCTTTTCTGTAACTTTCCAGATGTCTTTTGCCAGGGATCGACTTTATAATGGCTATTTGCGACAGAATATGCCGGCCATTGTTAGCAGGGTGAAAGTGAGAGAAATAGTACCGTACCTCCCCTGCCTGACGAGTCATGACAGGGTAAGTTTAATCATTCATTACTTTAAGTGGAGTTGCTTTTTTTATCTATTCTAAAAATAGCACACATAAGGTTTATTCCCTTTTTTATAGCAAGTTGCCAATGTTTTGCTGTAGAAACACAGAACGTTGTCAAAGTATTCAAGAGGCCTGTCACAATAACGAAGTTTGCTGGACGTTAAATAGTTCCAGAAATTACTGTGACAAATGCTAATGTTGTTTTTGAGATGATTTTTTCAAGCAATATATTGATAATGGCGTAATAATGCAAGTTTTTCCTCTGAAAGACCAACAAAGAACACTTTAAACTGGAACTGGAAGATATTTTAAATATCCAAAATTCAACACAGCAACAAAAATCGATAAATAAAATGAAAATGAAAAGACCAGACACAACCAAAACCATAAATACAATGTATTATGATGTCTCTGTAACCAAAATTAGCATTCAAAATATATCAATCAGAATGGAAATTATTACATTCTTAGTATTTACAGCTGTTGAACTTGATTGCACTTTGTGATGTTACAAACATCAACGTATTTCTCTGTGATAGACCAGAGGGAGTATCTCACTTTAGTGAAGTGAAAGGAAAGTTACATATAGTTTTTAAAATATTTCACAATAAACATCTGAAAAGTGTGGCAGACTTACATATTTTATTTTTTAAATACAGAGTGATTATTAAAAATATTCACCCCATTAGTCGTTTTTATGATCATCCAAATGTGGCTTTTTCATTTTAAAAAAATCTCAAAAACTACAATAAAGTTGAGATAAAACATGTAACATAAAATGCATAAATATTTAGCTTTCACTTTTTTTTTTTTTGCAGAAAAGTCATATTTTGTTGATAGTGACAGATTTGTAAAAGCCATAAAAGTCTAAAACATCCAACATGGTGGTGGCAGCATCATGCTGTGATGTCTCTTAATCAGAGACATGGAAGCTGTTCAGTTGATGAGAGCTTTTTGCAGAATACACAGAGCTAGATGTGTCATAACTACCCCAGAAAACATTTCTTTTCTAAACTAATTGTAGGAAAACATAGAGGCCAAACGGGAAACATCTGGGAATTTCAATGCCATGGTGCTTCTCCTGGACTGTCTGAAGAGGAGGGAGAACTGGCCGGAGCAGTTCATCCAGGCGCTGGAGGCTTGTGAGCACCCAAACCTCGCAGCTGAGATCCAAACAGAATACGACTCCCTGCTACGGGGTAGCAGTAAGTTACTTTATCATCTGTTGACATCTGTAATCTGGAGCTTAAAACCTTGATTTAATGTGATTTTTATGCCTTTGTATTATGACACGTATTGATATAAATGACAGCTTAAGCTTCTCTTTTATGTTACTGCCACATGACTTTATTGTTATTATTAACTGTACAGTACTTGAAGCTGAAGCAGCATCACTCTTATTGGCTAAAAGGTAATGTAGGAGTGCCCAAGGTGCTTCTAACACCATGTTTAGTAATGTTTCCTTGGATGCTGCTGGGAGGATGTATTGAGGGTCATATGTAGATCTGAAGGAAAGAACATCTCTGCTAGAAGTGGATATTTATCGTATTGTTTATCATTTATTGATAATAATTCCAATCTATTGTTGTCACGATAAATTCCACTTAATGACGTGAACTTATTGTCATAATTTCTGTTTGCTCAGTGGAAACAGCTATTGATGGTAGAAATAGATCAAAATTGATCAGACTGTATTTTATCTTTTGAAAGGATAAAGTTGTAAGCTTTGTGACTCTGTGAGTGATGTTAACAACCTGAGTAAAAAAGTAAATGATAAATAGATGTGTATAATTTCTGATGTCTACCCTCCACAGAGCTCTCATCTTAACCTAGCCACTGTTTGCTTCATCTTAGATCCCAGCTCAGGCTCGGCTGCAGCTACCGTGGTCAGGGCTCATGTCCACCCGGCTCCAGCCGCCAGCCAGCTGCCCGTCTCTGAGAGCGTTGCAGATGTTCAGCCGGCTCCCCCCGAGCCAGCCTCTCAGGCCCCGGCTCCTGTCCACGCTGCTGCACAAAATCTCCTGCCCGATAAACAAAATCTTGACCCTCAGATGGCAGCCGATTCTCTACCTGAACCCATCTCTGAGCTGCCCGCTCAGGATGAGCTTCCACGTCTTCCGTCTACTCCACCCCCATCTCCTGAGATCCAGCATGCAACCGAGGGAAAACATGCTCCCCACCAGGAGCCAGAAGAAAACTTAGAGTCTGATATCCAGGATCCTTCTGGTGATACCAGCGCAGGGAGGAAAGAAGCTGGCGCCGCTGTCGTCGTGGCCGCTGCTGTTGCCATGGTGACCTCCTCTCAGGATCAGCAACAGCAGCAACATCCGGTCCCTCAAAGTGGAGCTGATCATCTCCAAACAGCAGCCGCCACAAAGCCGAGTCCGTCTTTAACATCGGTCAGCTCTGATGTGTCTGATGGGTCATCTGTGCTAACTCTGACTCCAGAGAAACATCCAGTCCAGGACACGACCCCACCAGCACACAAGATTCCTCTGCAGCCCCAGATGAGCGCTGAACATACAGCTGCTCAGGTCAGTAACGAGACCTTTGATACTCCATCTCATCTAGAAGAAAAAACATTATGCTACATGCTGTTTGTTTTGTGGTACCTTTGGTTTTCAAAGGCCTTTATCAGCTCCACAATGCAATGTTTCGATGTAGATATAAATGCTGTTTGCTCAAATTAATGCCAGAGAAATTATAAAACATTTCTCTGCAGCTTCTACAATCCACCATATAAACATCTCATATTACATATTAGGTGATGATATTGGATGCTTTTTAACATTAAGTTGTTCTTTCCCTGCAGGCTGTTAAAAGTAGACCGCAGACTGACTCTTCTTCTCCTGAGCCGTTTGCCAACAAGAGAAACGTCTTTCATCAAGACGCCGATGATAACTCGGTGTGCCTGAGCAAACCTAGTCAGCTCGTCAGCATCCAGCCAGTTAATCACCCCAGTCCTTCAGTCCAGCCGCAGAGCTCCTTGCTGCAGCCTTACTCCGGCGACAGTGCCCGACTGGAACTAAGTGACCCTTCGTCAGACCTTCCTTCCTGCACTGCTCAAGTTGAGAAGCCCGATTCAGCAGAACCGCGTCAGGAGAACGTGATTGTTCCAGACCACAGTGAACCAGAGGAGAACCACTACGAGTCTCCAAACCAGAGCTTCGACGTGGCAGAGAATGTGGTTCACGTAGCAGAGATGCCATCCATCCTCAATTGTGACGGCCAAGCTCCAGAGCCACAACTTCAAATCGTCAATGGAGAACCGGTCAAAGGAAGCTTTTCTGCAAGCGTCAACACTGCAGATGAGACTGCGTCGAGTTTTAACAGCCTCCACAGCGAGAGCTACACTCCCATCGAGTCAAAGCCTCTGCCCAATTCAGAGAAAACCACTCCTCCCAACCCCAGCGACGGCCAATCCACGACAAGAAAGTACATTCTGATCGGAGCTGGAGTGGGGGCCTGCGCTCTATTGATGGCGTTGAAGTTTAAGCATTGAGGGGGTAAGGATAGAGACTGGGAATCGTCATGGTGTCTATTGTAATCCTTGTACTGAGAGGGCACAGGACAGACGTTTAATAATTACCCATAGTAACGAAAGCTACCATGCCAGACCTTTGATTATGTCATTAATTCATATCTGTTGTTGGTGTTCAGCAATGAATGACTTTGACTTTGGAATAATAAAAAAAACAAATCCAAACTCTTGACATCAGCTGTGACACTTCAGTGAGGTGAGGTGGCATCTCAGGTTATTTCAAATGTGGGTTTTTATAAAGGTACCTGATGGGAAATAATGGTGCCTCACAAAAGTATTCACACACTTTAACTTCAATGCATTTTATTGAGATTTTATGTGATACATCTATACTAGGAATGCATAACTGAATTTGAAGTTAAAAAATGATGGAAAGAAAATTGTGGCATTTGTTCACCAGTGTTCTATAGCAAACCACTGAGGTCTACACAAACCAGCTGGATTTGAGACTAAGAGTGTTTTCATACCTGATAGTCCAGTAGACTCTGTTCGATTGGGGACCAAACTTGCGATATTTGTTATATTTTATCTGCTGGAGCGGTTTGCTTTTGTACTGCGTTGTCAAATAATCCCAACTAATTGAAAAACCTGTTCCTTCCCTCACCTGTGGGGGCACTGCACCAAGAACCACTGAAGGAAATGACACCAAAACCTCTGAATAAGACACTGAGCACTTAATAATACACTGAATAAGACACTTCCTTCTTCACAACATCTAAACAAAAATGGAGTGGCATCAGATTTTAGCGGTTGCAGGATTTCTCTTTTGTCTTTAGCAAAAGATCACAAGCCGTTTCTCCCGCTAGTGCTACATACGCATGCTTGTTTGTATTTACCCAGAATGCCCTGACTTATAGTCCAGTTCCTGCTTTTTGATCTTTCTCCGGTCTGCTTGCATCCACATATGCATTCGAACCGCACCAGAGTTCGATTACACAGTCACACCTCCCCAAACAAACCAGACCTTCAAGGCAAACAGACTAGGGTTCGATTAAAACGGACTAAACAGGGCTGGAGTGATGCATCCTAAATGAAACATGATGCTCCACAGTATGGCGGTAGTTTGCAGTACCTTGAAGCAAAAAAGTCCTTGGGTTCAAATCCTGGCAGGTAGTCTTGAGGTATGCATGTTCTCCATGTGCACCATGGGTTCTCTCTGGGTATTCTGGCTACCTCACATAGTCCAAACAGTTTCATGTTAGGTTCATTGGTTCGTTCCAAGTGCCTCTAAGAGTGAACATGTCTGTAGTGAACCATGCCTCACCCTTAAGGATCACTGGAGATAGGTACTTAGACCTAGCAAAGACCTCTATTGCCAAGTTGTTGCACTGAATTTCATTCAAGGATACCAGAGTAACACATGCATACACACACTGTAAAATCTCTAAAAAATACTTTTTAACTTTATCAGATGAGGAAAACGTTCAAGGGGTGGGAATACTTTTCACAAGCCACTGTATGTTCTTTGAGTTATCTTGGAGGTGGAGGAAGTGGGAGGCAGGAGCTTTTCATATTTAATTCTTTACTTTCTGTTGGTATTTGGAAGCTGGGCTGCAAAAGCCCACTGTTTTCCATATTTATTTGTACATATTTGACACATTTACTCTACGTAGGTGTGTACCTATTAAGAAAAACTAAAAACATTTTTAAAAAGCCCATATATTATGTAAGGAATCAGGTTTATTTGTTCTTCTTCTCAAGGATAAAAACAATCTATTTCGAATTTTAGCACGATTTACTTTTAACAAAGCATTTTTATGACAAGTAGATTGTGGGTTTATGTAATAAGATGGATTTTTAACGTGTAACAGAAAATGTAGTTAATGTTACTGCATTATATAAAAAAATATATATAAACATTCTTTAAGGTGTGTAAATGAGCATCCTGGCTGATTTGGAGGATCCTCAGCAGTTTGTTAATCAGTGATTTGCTAAATCGTTCTTTCTGCCATCTAGTGGACATATTTGGTTTTACAAGTTGCTTTCCTTCAGGTAGAAATGTCTCCTGAATCACGATGTAAAGGTGAAAAATTTTATTGTAAATAGTTTGTCGATAAACAAAGCACACTTTTTAAAGAGTTATAAAGAGTTAATTCATTATGTTTTGCACATGTAAACTGCATAGCTGGAGATAGACCGGAGTGTCTTCATTGTTTTTCTTCGGGTTTTGATCTTAGGTTCTGTCTGAACTTGTATGCACTGTTTGTATCTACGCACTCCGACAGTCACATCAATAAAATACATTGATACAATTTGAATTTTATGTATATTTTACATATTTTGCATGTGAGGAAATATAACTTGGTGTCTATCTGGTGCTTGGGTCGGCTCCAGAGCCACATTTGGCTCTTTAGGCCCTCAAGTGGCTCCTAATAACTTTTAGCAGTGGCGTTATAGAACTGAAAGTGTTTTGTTGTTTAAAGGGAACAAGAAACTTTACAAAGAATTTTCACCAAAAAATGACAACAATGCCAAAGGAAATGTTCTTATTGTACAGATTTTTTTTTCTATTTGGTGCATATAATTAGGCTGAAACCACTGTGCTTTTTTTTAAAAAAAAAAGGAAAAAAAGAATACTTTCATCTTTTTCAAAAGAAGTTAACCAGAAAGTCAAAACATTATGTAAAACGTTTTAATATTGACATTTTACAATAGTTCAGATGAACGTATTGCCGGTTTTGTCTCTGATTTGTCTCCTCGTATCAGCAGATTAAAAAGGAGGTTAAAAGACATAGAGGAAAAGATAAAATCTATAGCAGTATATTGATGTGTTACAAAGGCCTATTTAAAGTCCATACGCATGTTTAATTGAGAATTCTGTGGAAGACCCTTAAAATTGCTACTTCACAAATTCTCTCCATCGAATCTGACTAATTTTGAGCTATTTTTCAATTACAAAAAGAAAAGCCAAATATTTAATAAAAAAAAAAAAAAGCCTCAAAGCTGACACAGACATCACATTCCCCAAAAGACTTGCAGGTGAAATTGCGGAAGGATGGTTCAACTAAATATTGAACTGATGTGACTGACCACAAAAAAACATGATACATTTAAAATTGTCATTAGCTAGGAGGGGATTCAACCGTGAATTTATGAGTGTTTTATTATCAGAATCACAGTTAGCTATGTTTTGATTGTAAAGCAATTTAATCATTAGAAAATAAATACAATAAGCAATTATTGAGTTACATATAAGTATTTAAATGTCCTTTCTAATTGGGTTATTTAATGTGGTAAAATCCAGGAAAAGTGACATGAGTTTATAAACTGGTGGACTCGCGCTCTGATTGGTTCTCACTTCCTTCCATCAACTCTTAGCCCCGCCTACATCTCTATTGACAGCGAACATAAAAAGGACGTGTAGCTCAGCCATTTACGACTCCAGATACCCAGCTAATTATCTCGGCTGCGAGGTTTTTGTTTGTATTTACCCCACAAATTATAGGCATTTATTCACCTACTCGCAACTTATATCATATATGTAGCTAATTAGCCATTCAATGGCGTTTAATCAACGCGACGATGATATCGTCGACGGAGAAGACGAAACGCCCTCGAAGCTGCCGCGGTGCAACAAGGAGATGCCCGGTTACTTTAGCAACGAGCCCCAAAATGAGGCTGCCGAGTCCGCCGGGAGAGCTACATCCGAGCGGCGAACGTCCAACTCGACCGCGTGGCATCGGAGAGATTCGTTTAAGAAGACCAGGCCGCGTAGGTGTTAACAAAGCTAGCTTCGGATATATACTGAGAGAGGAAAGGGGGTTGCTGCATCTACACAAAACACAAGGCGGTACATACAAGAAACCTTGGGCACTGAAATTGTTTTAATAATGAAATATTATGGTGTCGCGTATTTTCTTACAGCCTGAAGGTTGATAAGCTGTTGTGAGTGTGAAACTTGGTATCCGTTCGGCTTTGGCATTTGCCATGATATAAATGAGCCATAGAGGCAGTAAAAAGCCAGAATTTATTTTGCACAAGATGGCGTTCGCGGTACACACTGTACTCCTTGTAGGAAAGAAGCTGCTTACCATTTTCTAGGCTAGTTGTGTCACATGAAATTAATCCCCACTCAAACAAAATGTCTTTCACAATTTTCTATAATTTCTACATTATTAACAACAAAAAAATTTAAATAAAAAATGTCTCTGCATATGCTTCACACATTTCAGCATTTCCTTGGTTTGGGATGGACATCGGAGGCACCCTGGTGAAACTCGTGTATTTTGAGCCCAAAGACATCACTGCAGAAGAAGAGCAGGAGGAGGTGGAGAACCTGCGGAGCATCCGGCACTACCTGACCTCCAACACCGCCTACGGCACCACCGGCATCAGGGATGTGCACTTGGAGATGAAGGACCTGTCACTGTGCGGCAGGACGGGGAACCTGCACTTCATCCGCTTCCCCACTCATGACCTGCCTGTCTTCATGCAGATGGGCCGCAACAAGCACTTCTCCAGCCTCCACACCACGCTCTGTGCCACGGGAGGTGGCGCCTACAAATTTGAGTCTGATTTCCGTACGGTGGGTGTGCAGTCTTTTGTCTGCTTTATTTTTGCAGCTCAGAATATAGCACCTGCAAAAGGGTAATTAAAAATACACCGACTGTTGGTTGAGTAGATGAACCATTTTGATTTCTTGCACTAACATCTTATCTTTTTACAGTGACAAACACAAAACCTATGAAATAAAAATGATTCACACGTTTTTAAAAATGGGAATGGCTGGGTCTCCAGTAGCAGTCAGTTTTGCAACAAATCTGAGGAGGCCTCTGACAGTTTAGCATGTCATGACATGCCAACAGTTCAATATCCAGGCAACAGAGATGATATTTCATAGTAGCATGTCCTGGACGACACCATCAGTTGTTCGCAAGCACCGCTAATCTACTTCATTTGCTTCTTCTGCTCCTCTTTATATCCCTGGAAAACACATCATACTGCTCCTTTAAGCTAACTGGAGAGAATTCCCAATAAATTAATACAGGTGTAGCCAAAATTAGCTTGCAAAAGAAATTAAGGGCATAATTAAGGGTATGTAAACTTCTCAGCAGCATCAAATTATGTTTATCCTGCTGTCTCTCTCTCTCTAAAAACAAAGATGGCCGACCTGGAGCTCCACAAGCTGGACGAGCTAGACTGTTTGGTTCGGGGGGTGCTGTACATCGACTCGGTGATCACCAGCGGCCCCTCGGAGTGCTACTACTTTGAAAACCCCAGTGACCTGGATCACTGCGCTCAGAAACCCTACACACTGGAGAACGACTATCCTCTGCTGCTGGTCAACATTGGCTCCGGAGTCAGCATCCTGGCCGTCTACTCCGAGAACAACTACAAGCGGGTCACTGGGACCAGGTGATGCTCAGCAGCAAAATTATTTGCGCTTTCTGCTGCTTTGTAGCTTTAGATGTAAAGTTGTTATTATTATTATTATTATTATTATTATGACCTCTGGGCCTCTGAGGTGTTTTTAAAGATGCTGGGTTGGATACAAATATTGACGATTTACAATTGAATAGAATAATTCTTTATTAGTCCCACCGTGGGGAAATTTACTTGTTACATCAATAAGCCTAACATTACAGTAACAAGTAAACATAATATCAGACTCTAGCATTACTTCACAATCTTCATCTATCACCCGTTCTGCATGTTTGCGGTTTGATCAATTTGTGCAGCTTTGATGTAAATACATTTACAAATGGCGGATGTCTTTGCTGATTTGTCTTAATGAAATCTACTGCAAACCCAGCTGCCTTCTAACTGGTTGATGGGGGGCTATCCTGACTGTAATTTAGTGCAATCTATTGATGTACATGTATATTGAGCCCACTGTGGAAACATGGTGGTGGCAGTATCATGCTGCGAGTTCCCTTTTCCTTCTGTAAGGAATAATGTTTACCTTTCCCCCCAGTGGCCTACACTGGAATTTCTTATTGTAACATAACATGTACAAAAGTTCTCGGGGTTTGAATATTTTTTTTACAAGGCACTTATCTAGTACTGCAGATATAGGGAAATATCACAGAAAAACTGTGGAAAACGATTCAAAATGACTCGTATTTCGTTTTTTTTTTTTTTTAATCTCTCTACGTCTGCTGTACTCTACACCAGTGTTTTTCAACCACTGTTCCGCGGCACACTAGTGTGCCATGAGTGATCGTCCGGTGTGCCGTGGAAATTATTCAATTTCACCTATGGTATCGTATTTTCCAGACTATAAGCTGCTACTTTGAACCATGCGGATTGTAGCCCGGTGCGGTTTTTCTATCTATTTTTCTTTAACCACCAGGGGGTTCTCTAGCAGGAAGAGAACCATCAGAAGTCAAAATTGTAGATCAAAGAAGAACGCGTTAATTTTCATTTAGAACAACCACATGCTAGCAGCAGACACGACGGAGAAATGTTTTCAAACTTGTATGATGCAGCTTTTAAGTTGAGGGCTGTCGAGCTGCCACTACAGGAGAGAAATAGAGCTGCTGTACTTAAGCTCGGCGTGAACGAAACCATGGTTAGTCATTGTCTCTCTTCAATTTCTGCCAGAAAATCAGCTAAAGTTTAATAGAACTTCTTTAAATTTAAGACCACATTGTCGTGGCCCTGTTCAGGTGTATTGTTGAAGTGGACATGTTACGTGCAATTTGAAATAAGAAATGTAAAATGTGATAAAAATACATTTTTGTGTTTATTTGATTCCTATTCAAGACACTTTGATAAGAATGACTATATATGTAATATAGGCGACTACAGAGTATATTTCTTTACATTTTTGATTGGTGGTGTGCCTCGAGATTTTTTCAGTTAAAACAGTGTACCTTGGCTCAAAAAAGGTTGAAAAGCACTGCTCTACACACACAGGTCTGTTGCTATAGCAACTGACTGACAACAACTCCACTTGCGGACAGATAAGCTTACGTTCCAGTGCATTGTAGTTAAGCACCAAAAAACATCCAAACATTTTCCACACAAAGATCAGCACATTCATTCCATTATAGTATTATTTTTTTCAGACTTGAAGTTTATTTTGCAATTACTAGTAAGTGATGATCTGAACACAGCGGTGGTTGATTAGCTCATTTAAACACCTGCTCTACTGATGATGTGTCAGACTTGGTGAGTGGGTCGCCTTATTTTTATTTTTTAACTGAACCGAATCACGCTGAATTCCACAGCTCATCTACATGTTGGTTATCAAAGTCAAGCTAGCGTAGCAAAGCTACTTCCCTCTCTGTTTTTATTTTATAAAACGGGTACATTTAAGATTTAGTGCATTATGTTGACAAGTTTGCACTAAAATCCATGGTAGTCATCATTGACGAGTGTTTTCCCAGCAGGGAGCTGGGGAGCGGGTTCTTGCGTGCGTGATGTCACTTTGCAACATCTCTACATGCTATCGTTGATGCTAACGCTGATATTGACATTGTTTCTTATAGCTTTTGTTCAGTTTGTAAAATCTTACTAAATAAAGTTGACTATTTAGTCGAATCCTGGAGAATTTCACTGATGTCTGATTCCTCCGTTTGCGTTGACAGCCTCGGGGGCGGGACCTTCCTCGGCCTGTGCTGCCTTCTCACTGGCTGCTCGACTTTCGAGGAAGCCCTAGAAATGGCTTCTCAGGGGGAGAGCACCCACGTGGACAAGTTGGTCCGGGACATCTACGGAGGAGACTATGAGAGGTTTGGACTGCCGGGCTGGACTGTGGCCTCAAGGTGCGGTTTACAGCTCCTTCTACTGTTCTTATTGTTGGTCTCCAGCCTGTTTTGTGATGACTTCCAGCATCGTCAGAGCTTCAGCAGAGAACCTGAGCACCGTTGGGTTTGCTGGCTGGACTTGAGCTGTCTCCACGCCATCTGACAACTCAGTTTCTCTTCGTTTTCTAGTTTTGGCAGCATGATGTTCAAAGACAAAAGGGAGTCGGTGTCTAAGGAGGACCTGGCTCGGGCAACGCTGGTCACGATCACCAATAACATCGGCTCCATTACCAGAATGTGCGCTCTCAATGAGGTTAGTAACAATCATGGGGTAATAATGGTTAAGTGTGTGGAAGATATTTGCACTAGAAACTAGACAAAAAATGCGTGCTGCAATTTTGTGTTTTTTGCAGTGCAGCGGTGATGTTTGGCACTAGAGAGGCACCAATCAGAATTTGCGTCACCAATTTCTGACCAAGTAGTTTTCTGAAAGTTAACCATTTTAGTCAATTCCAGTTCGTTTGAGAGCAATATTATTAGAAGGTATCGGAAAGGCAGCAATCAGTCCTTTATGTTGGAAGCTGAGGTGACATTGCACTGTATGTGTTGGGACATGGGCCACTGTGAAACAGTGGTTTAGCCTTTTGTAAGAAAGTGATCTTAAAGTTACCCTTCTGCGTGAGGAGGGACAATGATCTGGTGGAGTAGAGATTCTAGGAACACATTTGTTTAGCATAAATCCTGCCTCATGTTTTCTGATTTTAGTGGGCCAAAAGTTCTCAGGGATTCAGACGGTTCCTTTGGTCTCTTTCTGGTCAGAAACTCATCTGTTTCGCGGCTGCTACACTAGCTTGAGAAGCTTGATAAATTTAACAATCAGCCAATCAAAGATGAGCCAATAACATTTCGATTGTTTCAACTTAAATGTTATTACAAATGAAAAACAATTAGATTTTATGGTATAAAAAAAATTCTGAATTCTAAACGATTGGAAAAACACAGAGAACCAGCTTCTTGGGCTCTCCAGCCGAGTTCTTGGTGAATCTCTGGTCTAAGCTGACGTGGTTTTATATAAAATCCCATTGTGTGTTCAGACTGGTGTTGGTGTAAAACTGCTGGAGAAGACCTTTCAAGTCTTATTCCTTTTTTGCCTTCAGCCTCTTTATGGTGCTGCCTTGTGGCGTCTTGATCAAGCAGCATTGTACAGGGCTATGACGGCGTAGAGGAGCTCACACGACGCCATTGTCATGGGCAACATTATACGCTTCCATTACAGCTCATTAAACAAAATCTGTTTGATCGCTGTTATTTCTGACCTCTTGTTGTTTTTTGCTCAGAACATTGAGAGAGTGGTGTTTGTCGGGAACTTCCTAAGAGTGAACATCCTCTCTATGAAGCTGCTGGCCTACGCTATGGACTACTGGTCCAACGGCCAGCTCAAGGCTCTCTTTCTTCGTCATGAGGTTGGTTTATTTTGAACAGAAAAGAGTCGGGGCAAACAATTGTCATTCCAAATAACTCGCCTGTTCAGTGTCTGGTCTGGACTAACAGTGGTGTCTAACTCTCGTTTCCCAGGGTTACTTTGGTGCCGTCGGAGCCTTGCTGGGACTTCTGCATCCGTCCTGATCCCTCTTTGGAGGAAGAAAAATAAATAAAAAAGTCAATCTGCTGCAGCAATCAGAAGCACTTTAGATTGTTAGGAATCAGTTTTTTCTTAAAAGCAGCGTTACCTGCACCACCTACTGGTACATTATTGCATGTGGGCCGGCACACGTTTTCAGTTCTCGTACGCCGGTTGAATGTTGGAGGTTTTCTGAATACTCCGTGGCTTAAGTTGGATGCAGAAAAGCTGGCAAGCTTAGTATTTTTGCACCTTTTTGTCGTATTTGGCGATTTCAAGGAAATCCAGCAGTGTTGCCTGAAGTAATTTAATTAGAAGTACCTGTTGGTTGGTAGTTTTGTCTTAATGCGCTCGCTACCCATCTGTGGGTAATCGGTTCTGGGCCAAAATATTCCAGGCTGTACCCAAAGGTACCAAAATGAATGATAAATGTTACTTTGCCCCTTTTAGAATCACTTTTTGTTACATAAACATATTTATGTAACAACAATGTTCTTAATTGGTTTCCCAAAGAGACTATGAACAGAAAGACTTGATAAAAAGTTAGTGACGCCATTTAAAGTGGTAGTTCCAGGTGTATTTATCACAGGTAATTAGAGGGAATGGGTTGTCACTTGAACTCTTGCCTACATGGTTAAGGTGAAACACTATTATTAACATCCATTTCCTGTCTTGCATAATAAGCTTTTTCAATGTAGTTCAACTAATCTGGAGGTTTTAATAATAGGGCAACCAAGGTTTTATAAGGTGTTGCATACAAAATGTGTTTATTATTATATTAAGCCCTTATATATCCCTAATGTAATATTATACACTTTTTTTTGGCTATGAATGATACAGCCCACTTGCTGTACAAATGCACCTACTGTCATCTGCATTACTGAAGTGCCTTCAGGCCAGTGCATGTCTGTGAGGAGAAATTGGTGCACATTGAGAAATGTGCACAGAAACTACAGGTCCAAAAAGCACATCATCTCTTAATATTCTGAGTTTAAACATCGTTTTGTTTGTTTTTTTTATGGTGAAACTCAGTGCTTCCCTCCAATGGAGGTATAGAATGTGTTCTCCACACCTGTTCCTGTTCTGTGTGGTTCAGTTATAAACACAAACTCTTCTGCTCTTCCTGTTGTAATGATAAATCATAATTTTTTATGTCCATCCATGATTACAAGGACCAGAATTTGTCTCTTTTTTTGTCAGTGATTGTTTGGAAACTACAGAGTAATTAGATTTTAAGTGCCTGTCATAATTTCTGTAATCTGTTTGGCATTATGGTTGTCATTCTCAAAAATACAAGATCGTCTTTGTTTCACATTTGCTTGTATTTTGCATAGAAATTATTTTTCCTGATTTTTTTTTTATGTTGAATCTATTAAAAATGTTTTTTCATGCCATATTTAAATTGTATTGCTTCTTTCTCTGCATATATTATTAGAAATCAAGTCCAAAACTAAAGTACATTGGTATCAATGACAACTTTGTTGGATGCGTGTTGCTACATTTAATTTGCTAATGAATTGATACCCTGATAGACATATTACACATTACTACAAAAGAAAATTTGATTCAAACTCGTTAAATTTTAATAAAAGTTTCAGGAATGGCATTCCTTTTGGAATTTTTAAATATACAACAGTGCATGTCACCAATTTTCAAAATATATTCCTAGAGGTCCAATTGCCGTAAATTTCTCACCAGATGTGGGAGCCCATCTATTTCCGACATCACTGACGTTTGCGCGTGAGCTATGTGTACCAGCTCGACGCCATGAAACTTTGCTCTGTAAATAACAACCCTCCATCGCAAAGAGAGAAGTTCTGAGCTGTACAAGTCGGTAATGTTAATTCAGTATTTGAAAGCGTGGCCAACACGGGACGGCTTCGCTCCGTTCCTCAGCTGCCATTGCTTTAAATACAGACAAGCTACGATGCTAAAACAGCGCAGGAAATCAACGTTATCGTTCACAACTTCTCCTGTTCGCTGATTGGCCAGGTGAAGAAAAAATCTGCCGTACAGTCCTGTGAAGCGAAATTTTAATCGAGTGGAGTAGCTTGGAGGTTAAATCCTCACACGAACAAGAAAACACATAAATACATCAAGAAATTACGTATAATAAAAACACAAGGGAAGCAGGGTTGAACACATAAAGGGAGGTTCAGAAACAAACGGAAAATCCTACAGCTGAAGTCTATCAGTAGCTAGAAAGCCATTTTTCATTGGTAAGTAGAAGCAGGTAGCCTTTACAATGTTTCATTACCCTATTGTCACACAAGAAACATTCACAAACACCTTCATAAAACATTGCTGTAAACGACAAAAGTAATTTCTAAATTACATAAAGTACCTACTGGGCACATCTGTGGCTTTAATACGGAAGTGGGAAGAACATAATTACACAGTAAAAGGGATTCTTGCAACACTTCAGTGTACAGCTTGAGAAAGACCTGAAACCAGCAGTTATTAGTCTGTTTCAAAGAAGAAAAAAAAGTAATCGGGCCTATATGTATCATTACTCAGCATCAGTGTTTACCATATACAAATACATTTGATTGATTGATTGATTGATTGATTGATTGATTGATTGATTGATTGATTGATTGATTGACTGATTATCAATCACTTAGTGAAACGTATTTATATAGATTAATTACACAGACTGATGTTTTCCAGCCTTTATTTCTGTTAATCGTGATTACTTTCCAGCTTGCAGTTCATAAAAACATGACATTTAAAATTTGAGTAGTACGTCAGACCAATAAAAAAATAAAAAATAAAAAATAAAAAAAAACACTTTATAATACAGAAATTTGGGTCTAATGAAAAGTACCAACTTAAACACTTTTAATATGTCAAATTATCCTCACCAGAAAGCATATTCTAATTTATTGAACATGACTATAATTGCTGTTATAATGGAGAACTTGAAATACATTTTTTAAATTGATAACTTTCGCAGGAAGAGGCTTCTAGCGATAAGGACAGAAAAGAGTTATGAGAGTTTCCACACATGTGGCAGCTGTCAGAAAATGAAGCAGAAGAAAAAAAGAACATTTAGTGTGTGGCTGGAAACTTTTCTCAGCACACGTGTACTTCATCAGACACGTACACATCTGCCAGAGCAACGAGTAAAATTCAGCTTTTTACCGTTTCGTAAGGAAGAGAGAGGGGGGTGGGGGGGTTGTTGCAGAACCAGACGTGAAAAGAGTCAGTGTCTTTCCAGGGAATAAATCCAGCCCCTTGCAGCCGTGGAGTCCCATCCTCCTCTTCCTCCTCTTCCTCCTTCTACTTCTCCTCCTCCTCGGTGAAAGCAGCACAGCTGGCAAATAAACGACAAGAGTCGCCACACGGAGCAACTAGTGGGTCGCTGTCCTGCTGACTATAGGTGATGATGGACATGAGTTAGAAAGAAATCCAGAGTTATTTATCACTTTTCTGGCAGAGGGGGACTCAGGATCTACACACTGAGCAGCCAGCACCCCTCGCTCCACTGGAACCGCTATAACCTCCTTAATACTGGCACCACAAGGTAAGACAGACACGGTCTTATTGGACGGCTGAACGTGATTTAGCTACCTAGATACGTTAAGAGAAGTGAATGGGGGTACATTTTCTTCTTATATCATTTGTCTGTATTGTAAAAATTGCATTTATTCTTCACTTTGCAAAGTGAAGCTTTACTCTTCTGGTCTTTTTATGTTCGTTTTCAGATAAATGCTAGGTACTAGAGGTTAAAAATGCTAAGTTATAAATATGCTAGAGCTGAAACGATTAATCGGGTTAATTGTGTCAATTGATTATTGAAATAATCGTCAACTAATTTGGTAACCGATTAATTGTTAAGTGGAGTATCTACAGACTCAAAAAAGAGTGATCAATAACTCAAATAACATACTCTGAGTGGTAATTAAGTCAAAACTGTACAAAAAATATATACATTTTCCATTTAAGATTAAAAAAATAGTTTGTAAATATGCTATATGCCAAACTCCTCAAGTGGCTACTTTTAGCTTCATTTGGCTCAAAGTACTCTCTTTGGCCCCTTTTGCTATCCAATTATTAACCAGTTAATTGAAAAAATAATCAACCGATCAGCCGTATTGATATTTAGTCAATATCATAAAGTCTACTTTATGTTATTAGTTACAGATGCATCCTTTACTACAAATTATCAAGTCTATGTTAAATAAATTGCTACGTTATTGCATATTAGACAGTACAATTTTTATTTTCTTATTTAACAAAACAATAGATTTTTTTGTTGCATATTTAAATGCATTTCTAATGCATAAAATGGCTTATGTGATTAAGTGAAACATTCTGCAGAATGTGGCCATTTTAAAATCAGATTAATCGTCACAATAATCGATTAACCATCAGAGTAACCAATTGATTAATCGATTACTGAATAATCATTAATTGCAGTTTAGAACATTCATGGTCAACATCGTGGTGCAAACACATAAGAGTATTTCAGTTTTTTATGTCTTAAGAGTTTTTTTTTAAAAGATAAGTTTTTTAGCTTGCAGAAAGATGATTTCTATTTGCAGCCAACATCTCTGTTAATCTGTATGATGTCTTGCAAAAGTATTTACACCCCTCAAACCTTTTCTGTCTTTGTCCAACTATCATATTTAATATGCAGTGTAGCGTAGTGTTCGTATGTACTACTTAGTGTTTTATAACTCTGGAGTTGAAGGGGAAAGTTTTCAGAGTTTTCTTTTTCTAAACAACAAAAAAAATCTCAAGAGTGTGGCATGCACCTTGGTTTAGCACTAGTTTTTGCTTCAATTCCAGCTGCAGGCCTTTGGGGACATGCCACCAACAAATAACTACAGCTTAACCATTTGGATGGAGAGCGCCCGGAAGGCAGCAGATTCCAAGTTTTGTCTCAGTTTTTAAATTTTGATTTAGTTGTGGACTTTGGCTGGACCGTTCAAACAAATGGCTTTGCTTTGAGCTAAAGTGTTTTGTTTTTTTTTTTCCAGGATAGATGTGTTTAGCTCCTCCTACTTTTCCACTCAGTCCAACCAGCTTCCCTGTCCCTGCTGAAGGGATGCATTCCCACAGCATTATGCTGCCACTTCCTTGTTTTACAGTGGGGTGGTCCGTTTAAGGTTATTTCTATTGCCCACAGTGTTTCTCATCTAAAGTGGCTGCACTGGACTTTATTTAAGGCTATTAGAATAAAGGACTACAAATGCACACTTAAGATTGTTCATTGTAAAAGAACAAAAATCACAATAAGTCACTACTTTTCATTAATTAGTCTCTTAAAAGCCTTACAAAACTCTCTGAAGTTTGTACCTGCAACAGTATCAAATGTGGAAAAAGTTCAAGGTGAGGCTTTTTATAAACTGCAAACCTTTTCGATAACATCTAAAATTCTCCATCGAGTGTCTCTGAGGCCCCCAGCTCGCTGCGAGGAGGGATGGAAATCATTATGGGAATAACTGTAAATATGCAGCGCTGCATGTGGAAGAACGGAGCTCTGCCTGCTGGACTCTGGTGACTCCAGTGATTCAGAACCTGGTACATCCATGAACCTACTTTGGTTTTGGTTAAGACAGAAACAGGAACAGATGTGTGAGAGAGTTCCCACCGAACGCTGTGTTCAGCCTCCACAGAGCTGATAGGAAACAAACGAAGAGATTCTATTAGTATAAAAGTAGATGTCAATAATATGTCAGCTTTATAATTCTGGTGTGTTTTTGTGCTAACTGAGTCCAGACCAGTTTGCCAAGACATAAAAGAAATAATGTGCAAAAATAGATCAAGGAAAGCTTTTGAAAGCCAAAACCGCAGCCTGCAAAGTGAAACAATTAAATTCTTTGTTTGTTTGGGTCTAAGATCTGGCTAAAACACACTGTTGTTTTTTGTTGCTTTGACGGTCGGTCAGGTTACAGAACCTGTTTCTAGACATGCAGCTCTGACCCCACTGTGGTTCTGCCGTTAAAAGCTTGTCAAACACGTGCGTCCAAAAAAACTCTCATGTATCGGACTCAGAACATGTATTCAGTCCCACGCTGTGGTTCCTGTACAAACATGTCACACTACAGTATTTGTATCCCTGAAGAACACTCCTGCCACGAAAATTTGCTTAGTTATCAATAGGAGGCCTGTGTGTGTTGACCAGTAAACAACCAGCTGCAGATACAAACATGGATCAAAGCAGATTAAAGACTTTCCACATATTTTTTGTGGAAAAATATGTTTTTTTTTGTTGTTTTTTTTATGAAGTGTGATTTATTTCAGATTTTCTACACAATAATCAATGCCCAAACAGCAAGAAATTACATTGATGTCATCAAACAGTAATTATGATAATGAAGATGAATGAGTAAATGACAAAAACAGTAAATAAACAGAAAAAATAAGCAAAGGTTACAAAAAAATAAATCACTAAAATTCCAAAGCTTCTTCAACTTCGAATTTTTAATTTTACTGCAATACAGACAACATCACATCTACAATAACTCTTTGAAGAATTTCAATTAATGAGTTACAACATTTAATTTCCCCTTTGGGATCAATAAAGTGCTTTTGAATTTGAAATATTTCAAGAATTTTGAACCACAATGGAAAGAAAGTGTTGCATTTTTATGAAAATAAAACCGTTTTCAAAATTATTTGTACTGTTCAAACTGTTTCCCATCTTGTGATGTTACTTTTTCAATCTTGTCAGTTTTCTGTTAGGATTTTATATGATAAACCGACACAAAGTCATCTGTAATTATGAAGAATTCATGGTTTTCAATTTTCTTTTCTTTTTTTTTTCTTGTTTTTCTTTTACAATTAAAATCTGAGACACTGTGGTGTGTATTTCAATTCAGTCCAATTTTACCGATACCCCAAACCAGAGGTTCCCAAACTGTGGGGCGCGTGCCCTTGGTGGGGCGCCGTGTCATTACAGGGGGGTCACAGGAAGCCGTCTGGATGAAAAAAAACAAAACAAAACATGATCACTGTATGCGCTGGGTTTTTACCTTAGAATGGCAAACTCTATGTTATTCCTATGTCAATTTGATACAGTAGAGGCTTCCACACCTCCCATATTTGTGTCCTCTGTCACTTATCAGCAGTTAAAACTGTTTAATCCGTTGTTAACATGTTGTAACCTGTTTTTCCGAGCCGCCTTTAAACGCAACATGAGCGCTACGACGCTCGCGCTGGTTTCCACCTGTGAAGGAGACCTGCTGCTGCTGTGTGGAGCTACGTAGGTTTGTGTTGGAATCACGGCAGCAAACCAGCAAAACACAAAGAACTTTTCACAGTTTTTCCCTCCAAACTAACCGACTGAGTTGAGTAAAGCTGTTGGATGCAGGTAATGTTAGCTAAAAGATGACTAGCTAATATCAATACAGAACCTTAAGCTTAACAAGTACCTTGTAGGCTACCGATGTTGGTGTCTATTTTCAGCTATGTACATTCATTTTGCCCCCAAAAAAGTCGATGCCCCCCCAGTGGTTTCCAAAGATGTTTGGAAACCACTGGGGGGGCGCAGAAGAAAAAGTTTGGGAACCACTGCCCCAAACTAAAGCATAGTTTAATCATCTGTCTGCAATAGTCACCTAATTATTAATTAATTTCCCTCTAGGAGTAATAAAGTATTTTTGAAGTGAATTCAAGGGGCAGTATTATGTGTTTTCCAGCCACATAGCACAATAAAGTAACCGTGTTACCTTCAGTTGTCAAAGAAATGCTGAATATATCAAATAAAACTTAAAATAAATTCAACTTCATAGGTTAGTGGCTTGAAATTGGGCCTCTGTCTCTTTAAAAAGCCCCTCCTCTTTCTGTGACTCCGCCTTCAGGAAGTCATCACAACATGGCTCCTCTATTAAAGTGAATAGAAACTGATCATTATCTTTCTTTTTTAAATTGCTACATTGACTTTTTATCTTGTGAGAAATCCCTTGTTTTATGTTTTGAGTGAATAAAAACTAAATCTGCAATGAAGTATGAATAATTTTAAGTTCATCTAGACTCTGAAAGGCTAATTTCTGTGATTCCCACTGAAAGTGGCTCTATAGTTTTGATTCATGTGGAGGAGACGACAAATACACCAGAAATCTCTGAGAACCAGATATCAATTTTCTTCATGTTGGTCAATAACAGAACATTCCAATAAAATAATTAAAAAATAATGAAATACACTGGTATTTGTTGTTTGTAACATGACAGAATGTGGTAAAGTTTAAAGGGGAGGACTATTTTTGTTGGGTATCTTAAGTATCGAAGGATAAAAATAAAAAAAGTCTTATCTAAGAATTGTTATGAAATGAGGCAAACAGGCATTAATTTTTGTAGCGATTAGCCCCCCAATTTGTTGACGTTAAGCCTGACCAGATGGTACGAATTAAAATGCCAAAGTAGCTCAACTCACATTAACTCCCTCACATGTGCTGACCAAGTTCCTGCTTCTTCTGTAACCTTCTTTTTAAAATGATTTCTTATTGCGTTTCTTTATATAATTTATTAATGATTTTTTTTTGTTTAAGCAGCAGTGCTGTGGCTTTTTGGAATTGACCTTAAGCTCCTTGCATTTGTTGAAAAATGTCCACAGAGACTCTTAATTTAGGAGTAGGTAAAAACAGGTAAATTGTGGCTGAGTTAATTACTTCTTACATTTTCCTGGAGTTAAACATCTGTCCATACCCTTGTTTTTTTTTTTTTTTCTCTTTGTTTGCAGCTGAAATGATGGAGAAATCGAGGCACACGCGGCAGTTAGCGGTCAGCCTTCTGTTTGGGTTGTGGTTTCCTTGTTGTTTAACCCAGACCACAGCGCCCAGCAGGGCCAGTGTGGCCCCGACTCCGTCCGCGGCCCCTCAACAGCTGAAGGTCCGCCTGGCCGGATACCCCCGCAAACACAACGAAGGCCGGATAGAGCTCTTCTACAAGGGAGAGTGGGGAACCATCTGCGACGACGACTTCTCTATAGCCAACGCCAACGTCCTCTGTCGACAGCTGGGCTTCGTCTCAGCCACTGGGTGGACTCACAGCGCCAAATACGGCAACGGACAAGGTCAGAAACCCTTCACTCAGTCACATGGGGCTTCATCGTTAGTAAATATAGAGAGTGTTATGTGTTTTCAGCCACACAGCGCCATTTTATAGCACAACAAGGTAAATCTGTTTCCTTCAGATGTTATAAAAATGCCATATATGTCAAATATGGTTAATTTAAGGTTTTGAAATTGGGCCTCTGCTCTTTAAGAATCTCTGACTCTTTCTGAAACTCCACCTTCAGGAAGTCATCACAACATGGCTCCTCTATTAACTCTTTAACAAAGTGTTTACCAGCGTTTCACTGAGAAGTAGCTCCTATAACGAGCTCAGCAGGTGAACAGTTCCAGCAGGTGTTTACTAATTTCTGCTGGCTAGTCTGAAGGAGCTGTTACTAGTTTGTGCTATAAAATGGCACTATGGAAAATATATAAAAGACACAAAAAAAACATTAAAAAGTACTATCTAATGTGAAAAAAAACTTACTGTGCTATGAAATAATTTCAATTTTAGGATTTTTTTGTTAGAAAGTAAAGATAGAATCCAAAATGTATTAACAACCTAGGTATGGATTTGTTTTTATCCTCCGGACTGAGAATTTCCTGGAGCCTAAGTAAGCGTCTTCCTTTACAGGAAAGATCTGGTTGGACAACGTGTTGTGCAATGGAGGAGAGAAGAGCATCGACTTGTGCAAGTCTCGAGGATGGGGAAACAGCGACTGCACTCACGATGAAGACGCTGGAGTGGTTTGCAAAGATGAGAGGATTCCTGGCTTTGTGGACTCAAACATTATTGATGTAAGTTGCTTAAGAAAAAAAACTAAAACTCTTATTCCTTTGAGTAATTGAGATCTGTTATGACTTCACATAAAGGCTTTTTTTTAAAATATTGCCATGGTTCATGAAAAAATGTGTTTATTCATTACTTCTGTGGCTGTATGTCCTCTGGTTACCACATGCCTTTACTGTACAGTTTTGTATTACTAATACATTGTTATAACATGCGTCAGTGTCTTACTTTACTTGTTTTGACTTATTAAATAATTAACTTTTTCTCAGATGTTGAACACAAATTCTGTTATCTGTGTTTCTTTTAACGGGGCAGAATTAAGTGCAATCGACATTTTTTGAGCTTTACATCATGTTTTATTATTATTCCCTCATCAAAAATCAAAGCGACCTGGAGTGTCACTTTGATTCTTTCATGCATGTTTGAGAAATCCTTTAATCTCCATGGCAACCATTCATCTGTGCAAAATGCCTGGGTGAACCTAGCTCCGCCTCCGAGGACGTAGCTCCTCCGCTTAGCTTCAGTTTCCAAGCTACCCAGCTTCCTCATCACAGAGCAGCCCATCCCCACTCAGCTCCTTCAGACTAGCCACCAGCAATTAGCAAACACCTGGTGGAACTGAGCATCTGCTCAGTTCGTTAAAGAGCTATATCTCAGTGAAGTGCTGGTAAAAACGTTAAAGGGTTAATAGAGGAGCCATTTGACTTCCTGTTTCAGAAAGAGCAGCAGTTTTTAGAGACAGAGGCCCAATTATAAGTCGTTAAATTGGGAAGTAACATTTCTTTTAAGTCATATTTGATTTAATTCTGAATTGGAAGGAAAGCAATTCATTGTTTTAAAAAAATACTAACCTGTGTAAATTTTAAATGGTGGTTTATATTTGTATTGATTCCCCCCTTTACTCTGATTTCTCTAAATAAAATCCACTGCAGCTAGTTGCCTTTGGTTTTACGCATGCTTTTTGTTTGGGTTTACCACATAAACATTCTAATGGTATGAAGAAAAAAAAATAGAATCAAGTTTAATGCATTTTGGACACTTGGCGATACTTTTGTGAGGCACTCGCTTTAAAGGAGTTCAGCAGCTTTTAAGAAAACGTTAAAACTTAACCCGTTTGGTACGGCCTGAGAATCCCAGTCCGGCAGGACGCCACATGTGGTCCAGCTGGAACCAGTTCAGTCTGGTTACACATCTGGACTGGATCCTAGAATCACACTTAATCCTTCCAAGATGCCTCTTTGTTGTGCATTATTAGAAAAAAATTTTCATAACATTAAAGGACTATCATTTTAATCTTCATAAACTTTGTCCTGCAGTGTGTTTCAGTCAAACATGGCGACCAGATTTTAATCTCTGACTGCTGCCAATTTCTTTTCCAAACAAAGCCCCAGTGGAAGTGACTCACTGCAAAGCTGGCTTTCACATGTACAGTGAGCTGAACTGTTTTATTCAGTTTCTTTATTTGCCGTGGCAGAGAACATCTGGTAGATGTTGCAATATGAACATATGGAACAACGAATTGTTCAAATGCTTTAAACGTATATTTTCTTTCCTGTGTTATCTAATCATTCAGACTAGGGACGCACCAATCTATTTTTTTTCACTTCCGATACCGATATCGGAGGTATAGTATCGGCCGATACCAATCCGATGCAGAAGCACAGCGCTGACTTGACTTAAAACATTTCTTTTTCTTAAACAAAGAGGTAAATGCACTGAATTATAAATGTTATAGCTTTGCATCAGTGCAGCACACTTAAATATGCCAATAGCTTCACAAGCTTGATCAGACATGGAAAAACAACAAAACTTTAATTTGTTCAGTTGGTCATAATTAGGAATAGAGCAGCCAATGTAAAATAAATAAAGAAACTGAAGCTGACAAACGACTACGTTGGTCAAACATGTAAAAATAAACTGCAACAAATCTTCTGTCAAATGGCTCAGAAAGTGCAATTAGAAATTATATTTGTAGTGTAAAATAAATAGTAAAACATGATGTCGCTCAGAGCACAAAGTGTAGAATTAGATTGAATAGATCTGTCCTTATTGCTTGACCACATTGTCTCGGTCACAAAGTAGAATTTTTGTAAATATCGGGGCCGGTACAGATATAAATATTGGATCGGTGCATTTCTAATTCAGACGGTCATTTTTTAATCTTTAATATTCAACTTCCCGTTGCTGCTCACTAAAGTATTTTTGAATTAGACTTGAATCTTCTTCTGTTTTTTTTTCGTTGTTTTTTTTGGGTTTTTTTGTTCTTTCCAGGCTCAAGTTGACGAGAAGAAGGTGGAGGAGGTGCGGCTCCGGCCCGTTGTTGGCACGGCCAGGAGGAAGCTGCCCATCACCGAGGGCGTAGTGGAGGTCAAGCACAAGGACGGCTGGGCTCAGATCTGTGACGTGGGATGGACCGTCAAGAACACCCGCGTGGTCTGCGGCATGCTGGGATTCCCGCATGAACGGAAGGTCAACAAGAACTTCTACAAGTAAGAAACGGGCCCAAGTAGAACCTTTGGAGCTCCACTCTGTGGTGAGGTAGGAAGGTTTACACTGAAATTGTGTTTTTGTTTTGTTCTTTTTTTACGAAGATGTCACACCTTAGATAAATAGACAAAGTCACGGGAAAAAGAAAGTACACCCTCCCATATTTTCGTTTTCTTGCATCAGGACATATTGACAATAATCTGGCCTTGTTGGGTAATAAACGTTTGTAATCTAAAATTATGTGAACCTACAGATTCCACAGTTTTTGAGGCGTCATGTTGGTTAAAATTGAAAAGCTGTGAGTGGAAAAGTCAAATGAACTCCAGGATTTCATCAGTGTGAAGGAATGTCGGCCTTCTCTTCTGAGCCATGTTGCTTCGGTTCAGTGAACTTTGCAGACGTTTGTTGTGTGAACAGCTGAATTCAGATTTCACCAGAGCATTTGGTCTGGACTTTGACTAGGACATTGCAACACTTTGGTTCTTTATCATAACAGATTATCTCACATTTCTACAGGTGAGGATGAGACCACTGGGGGGAAAACAAGAATTCAAACTTTAATCTCAGAATTTCTACTTTTTCTTAGAATTCTAACTTTAATTTCAAAATTCTTACTTTTAACTCAGAATTCACATTTCTGAGATTAAAGTCTGTGCATTTCTCTCTGGAATGTTTTTTTTTTTAAGCATCTTCATTATTATTATTTGTTTATTTGTTACATCTGTTTGAAATCTCGTAGTTTAATATTCAACTTCTCAGTCTTAAATTTTCTTTGTTATCATCGACAACCTCTGACACCCCTTCTAAAAAATCAAGATGAACGTTGAGTCTTTTTCTAAATCTTCTATCATGAGGTTTTACATTTAGCACTCTCATTTGGTCATGTAGAACCTCATTGCTCACTTTACACACGTTGGAGAGAATTTTCTGGGACATTTGCTCCTGGCAACATTAGTGACTGTCATAAAACTTTTCCCCACGTGGAAAAACCTCCAAGAATAATAGGCTTTAATTAGTTTGTAAATGTCTTGGAAGCACATGGAAGCTTGGTGGGCAGCAGTGATTTCTTCTCTGAGGATGTGGAAGGGTATTTCTTTGGAAGTGGTCACTGTTTCTCATAATCAGTCGCTGCTGCTTCAGACACCATACAGAAACATGAAATGATGCTAAATGTTTTTCCACACACAGTATTGATTTTGGCTTAATCTTTAATTAATAGCAAATAATCACATGGTCGGATTCTTCTGAATGTTTTTGACAGTTGAGATTAGATAAAAAATAAATAAATAAAACCGTTGTATTGAAAGCCATTTGTGGTCAATACTGACATCATATTTGATTATCATAATTACCCATTGAATTTGACAGCCATTTCTGCTGACTTATCAAAACAGAATAGACAGAAAGAGCCTTTTAGTCGTAATGATGTTTGGGGACGTTTGTGTGACACTATCATTCCTCTCAGAGTCAGACATCCAGAAACACGGTTTCTTTCCTTTGACTAAGCCACAGTCTGGAGCTCTTTTGTTTGTCAGCAAGTGGAGAATGTGGAGGCGGATGTGTCGGCCAAAAGTCTCAAGTGACGACGGCTCTCATGGCAGAAGTTAGTTTTCCTGAGCTTTCTGTGTTGTACACTTTCCGTATGTTTACGTTTTTCTTTTTGAAAGAGATGATGCTTTAATACATCTTCTTGGCCTCTATTGTCGCTGGAGAATAATTACTAACCTGCTTCCTGTTTTGCTATTTTTATTTTTGTATTGAAGAGTTTATTATGTGAGCCTGAACATCTTTGAAGTATGTGTGATGTATTTAGTTTTTATAAATTGCAGGCGCTGAAATGAAGTTTGTAGAATTTCAGTGTTTTGCTTTATCAAAATGGGGAACTTTATCTCTTTTTAAAAATTTTCTTCCACGTTAAAGGATCGGCTCAACACTGGAATTGATGGTACATATAAATATTTGCTAAATGAATCAGAAAGTAGGCCAGGCTGCCTGTAGTTGGAGCCACTTTGGGTACTCAGAAGTGGAGTTGATTGAATCTTCACCAGATAGCGTGCCTGCATGGTGTAAAGTGAGATGAATGATTTCTATTCTAACATTTGACTAAAACATTCATATTAATTTTATAATTGTACATTATATGTGGGCCCATCAGAACTGTGACACTTTGCTGAATCTTTCTAAAAAAAATGTCAAAAAGATTAATAACAGCTTGGCTTTAACTTTCTTTTTTCTCTCCATGTTTTCAGTTTCAGTGATTGTCATGGTAACCCAAAAAAAAAGAGAAATGTTTTCAAAGTCCATACCAGGGTTATGATAGTTTTGGGTTATCATTTTAGTTTAGTTTTATTTTGCTGACTTTTGTCTAATTCAATTAGTCTTAGTTAGGTTTTACAGTGAGTTTGCTTGTTTTCATTAGTTATTTGTGAAATATTTTTTCATTTAGGTTTTATTAGTAGTAGTTTTAATTTGTTCATACTTTGGTAAATTTTTAGGTGCAGAATTATATATATTGTGATATATATATATAATCACAATATATAATATTGTGATTATATATTCACTGACTGGTAATAAATACTCAACAGAAGTTTCCGTTTTAAAAAAATGTTGAACAAACAACAGACTCTGGAGTTTTCTCCCAACTTTTTCAGTCGTCGTTTTGCAGACTAGCTTATGTCAACAGCTGACGTAAACGGCTTGTGTGGGGCGGAAACTTCACAGCAATTCAAAACACTAATAAATAGATTCATAAACATGAAAACAAAGGATATTACATCTACATTTTAAGTGTGTTTTAGTTAGTTTTCCTCATTAACGTTTTAATTTATTTCAGTTAAGGAAAGTGTTTTCTCAATTTCAGTTTTCATTTGTTTTAGTTAGTTTCTTTTTCCATCCGGTCCGTCCTGATCTAGGACACACATTCCTGGCTGCTCTAGAGTTCAGGCCTTCACAAAGAGCAGCAGGAGGGGCTCACGTTTTCTCCCAGCCATGTGTGAGGCTCTCGGGAGCAGCCCGGGATTTGGAGAGGGTCAGATGCTCCAAATGAGAAAAGCAACCGAAAAAGAAAAAAAAACTGTAAGAGGAGCAGCTCTGTAATTCTGAGTAAGAGTTGATATGGAGCTAAATTTGGCCATAAACTTTGTTCAGAAAAAAAGAAAATTGAAGCTTAACAAAATACCCTTAAATCTGAAAAGTAGTTTTGAACATTTTACAGTTCCAAATCAGGTTTTTATCCAGTCCCAAAACAATTTATTATTTTTTTTTCAGTTTCACATTTTTTTTTCTTTTAAACAAACTTATTGGCCCTCTGCGCGTGCTGTAACGCGATCTACCGGAGACCTGTGGAATGTCAGAAATGCTCCTCGCCGCTCGGCGTTGTAGGACACAGACGGTGTGTGTAAGAAGAACGAACCCTGACAGTTAAAGTGAGTGTTTGCGTGTAGTTTCTCTGCTGTGTGTGATGGAATCCGACTGTCTCGCTGTTGCAGACGTCTGGCAAAGCGAGCTGCTGAGAAGGCCTCCAGTCCAAAGGTCTCAGCTGCTGGAAGGTACACTGTAGCAGGAATGCCTGTCGCTGTTGCCAATGGGTTTCCTGTTGGCTTAGAAAACAATCATTTAGTTCTAGATAATAGTCATCTGTTCCTCCTTCTTGCTTTCTGAATCTTCCCATTCAGGGAAACTTTTTTTTTGTTTCCTTACATGTTTTTTTTTTTGGTCACACAGATAGGGATCAGTCAACTTACAAAAATATATTATTTACATTTTCTGACCTCAACTATTTCTGCTTTAAAGGGGCAGTATTATGTTTTTTTGAGTTTTATACCATCTCATAATGTTATTCCCTCATCAGAAGCATAGCTGGAGTGTTGCTTTGATTCTTTCATGCTTTAATTTCCATGGCAACCACTCAGCTGTGCAAAACACCTTGGTGGACCTAGCTCCGCCTTTGAGGACAAAGCTCCTCCTCTTAGCTTCAGTTTCCAAGCTATCCTACTCTTTCTGAAGGCAAAGCTTCAGAAAGAGTAGGAGCTTCTTAAAGAGACAGAACCCCAATTTCAAGCCATTAAATATCAAAGTCATATTTGATATAGATAGCATTTTTATAACAACTGAAGGTATTTTTTTTGTGCTATTAAATGTCACTATGTGGCTGGAAATGCATAATACTGCCCCTCTAAACACATTTTATGATATTAAATGAAACAAAAATAGTTGGGTTATTTTTTTTTATTCATCACCCAATTTCTGCGAGGTTTCGTCCATGACTGTGCCTGTCTGTGTTCTGCCTGCAAATATATTGTCATATTATTTCACTCAATAGAGCTTTTTATTAAACAGGAGCTGGAGATGCCTTTCATCCGTATGACTGGCTGTAATGAGGAGCTGCTGGGTTCTTCAGCTAAATGACTTGCAGGTCTTTGGGTCAGGATAACAAGAGCTCCATTTGGTAGAATCTGCAAATAATTTCTAGTGTTTGTTTTTGATTAGCTGAGCCTCAGGAGATGAGACCAATATGGAGATTAATAAAAGCCATAATGTTTGCTCACTTTGATAATTGTTTGTTGCTTTAAAGTTGGAAAAAAAGAGACTTGAACTTGGAAAATCTAAAGGTAACCTAGAAATATAAAATCTGAAGCTGAAAAAAGGAAATGTGACATTTTAAGCTTTTAAGGATAAACTGAAATAATTTGTCCTTTTTATTTATATTAGATTTTTTTAGAGCCACATCTTCATGTAGGAAAATTGGATGAAAATTAAGATTTTCTTAAATTATTATTTTTTTATTTTTGAATTTTAATCTGATGTTTCTCAGAATTAACTGTACATATTTTTTCCACGGCTTTCAAAAGAGGATAAAGGCTGTCCACTCAACCCAATTTATTCATCCATCCATTTCCATTTTCTACTGGGAAAGTAGGAACAAGTTACCAGAGCACAAAACGGAGAAAAACAAGAAAAACATGAATTTCTGATAAAATATAAATTTTAGTTTTTTTTTTACTAAATGTCTGAGTTGAAGTCATGAAGGCAGATGCCACCCTTTGTTAAATAACATTTTCAGAAGTATTAAAAATGTAAACTTTATGTTTGAATTCAGTTTGTTTGATACATTTTAATCTTAATTAGTTTTTTCAAGATGAATCATTTTTAAGTTCAGACAAAAGTGATTAATTAGTTTATAAAACTAAATTATTGACTCTATTTGATTTTATTTTTATTGTTTCATTGTGTTTTTGTTTTGGTTCTGCATATTAACACAGAATCAGACGTTTTCCTTTGACATGGTTTTGCGTTGTGCAGGTTCTACCTGATTTGGCTCTTGACCAGATTAAAATCTATAATCTAGGATTTATTATGAGCCTCTCACTAATGCTCTGTACAAACATGGCTGAAGAACCCATCAACACTCTGTAGAAAGCAAATCTATACAAGTCAAACGCTGGAACTTTATGTTCACATTGACAAAGTAGAGCTGCATTCAGAATATTTTACTTTTTCCTTAGTGCATGTTTAGAACCAAAGCCCTAGTAGTATATGGACTCACCAACCATACAGTCAGTGCCTCCACTTCACTGCCAACCACAATAATAGAAAAATGTCCATATACTTTCCTTTGGTCATGTTCATGTTTTTGATTCTAGTTCTGCTTCCTGATTGGTTGTTGTCATGATTTCTGTGCAGACTCACCCATTTTTACCTTACAGGCAACCATCCAAAGCTAAAGCTAGCTCTATGTCTAAACAGAGCAACCAAAGGAAAAGGTAATCTGAGGAAACATTTGGTAGATAGATGGTGTCTAAAACAAAATATATCACCTTGCAAAAAAAAGATGAATGTATAAAAATGACCTTTTGGAAAGACTACTACTATCCTCTTTATATGTTTGAGCGTTTTCTATCTCACTTCATCTTGGTTTGTTTTTGCCAACATATTTTAAAAAATGTTTTTGTCCATATTCCGTCTGCCTCCCTCAGGTTGTACCTGGAGCGGCAGAAGAACCTGTACCTGCTCCGCTCTGTGGCGTGTTTGGGGTCAGAGGTCCACCTGGCGGCCTGCCCCCTAGAGTTCAGCAGGCCCAACGCCACTGCGACCTGCGCCGGCGGCATGCCCGTCGTCGTGAGCTGCATGCCCGGCCCGCTGTTCATGCAGAACAGCTCTCTGAAGAAGAAAGTTAAAGTCTCGGTAAGAGAATCCTCAGGAACAGAAGCCGGCTAAATGAAGGATGTTTTTTTTTTCTTCACATTTTGTTTCGCTACAACTTCAATATATTTATCTTGTATTTTGTGTGGACAGTTCTCTGAACAGATGAGACCAAAAAGTTTTGGAGGTATGTCAAAAATTATATAAGCTAGAGATTTAATGAGGAGCAGCAAAAGCAAATGAGGTGGATTAGCAGAACTTTCCAACAACTGATGATGTCGTCCAGAACTTGTTGCTGTGGGTTATCGTCTCTGCTGCCCAGATGTTGAGCTGTTAGCATTTCATGACAGCAACGGTGTCTTCAGTCAGAGGCTTCTTTTGATTTGTGGTTAGATGGACTGCTACAGCATCAACACCTCAAGGACTTTCTGAGGAAACTTGAATGAAATGAGTTACATTTAATTTCCCTTTGAGATAAAGTAATTTTCAATAGAGCAGAATTGAACTGAATGGAACTGAATCAAACTAAATTAAATGAAGCTGAAATGATTTGAACTGAATCAAATTAAACTGAACTAAACCTACAGTCAGTTCCTCTCCATCCTGTCACCTGAATTCATTTTTCAGATTTATAAAGCTGGTAGAGAAAAAGTCTCCCAAAAGTTCTGATTCAGGAAGGATGAGTACAAATACACACCATACTATATTTTTTAGATTTTTATTTATTAAGTGCATCATCTTCCTTTTGTTTCACTATTAAGCCTTTTGGTCAATTAGAGTTTGCAGGTATTTCATGACAAAATGCAGAAATATTCAGGAATATGAATGTTTTTGTAAAGTGTTGTACCGCAGCGACAGTATTGTCGTCTAAACTAAACGGTCAGGATGTGCCAAATGGCTCCATGTTCACAGAAACCCGTTTCCATGTCGTCAGAGTAACGTGAGGCTGAAGGGCGGTGCCAGGCTGGGGGAAGGCCGGGTGGAAGTGCTCAAAGACAACGAGTGGGGGACGGTGTGCGACGACCGCTGGAGCCTGCTGTCCGCCAGCGTCGTGTGCCGGGAGCTGGGCTTCGGCAGCGCCAAGGAAGCTCTGACGGGAGCCCGCATGGGACAAGGTGAGCACCGATGAGCAACTGAAGGTAACATTATTTGTTTGTGTTATAATTAAGTGCCTGAAAAACACATGATACCGGCCCTTTAAGAACTATCTCACATCATTTCTCGGTGGAAACATTCGCAAACAAAAAAGTCTAGTGATGCTGCACAGGAAAACATTGAGCTCTACATGTGGAAATGTGTGTAATTATAATCTAGGTCTTTCTTCAATAAGGTGTTTTGGGCGAACAGGCCAGAAACTCTGCTATGGAAGAAAACAGGCCGTCTTTTCAGCAGCAGTTCTCGGAAACACCAGGAAGTAGCTCCCTTCTCAGAGAAAGTTGGATCTGTTAGGGGAAGTGCTGTGGTCGGACTAACGTCTGACCAAATGCTGCCTGGACGTGACCGAGACTTTTTAATGGAGGTCAGAAGCTCGAGCCGCTGAAGGACAGCCATTCATGGATGCTAGTGACGCAAACATGCTAAAAGTCCAGAATTCCTTCTTGGTACATCCATTGAATCCCTCCGTTTATGGCTGATGGACAATGCCCTGCGGAACAATTATAACACCTGAGACTTTTTATTTTATTGCAATATTCATTGTATCTTGCAGGGATTTTTTCTTTACAGACCAACACATCCACTTCATCCACAAGTTATGAAGTGGATGAAAAATAATACATCATTTTCTAAATGGTCTTGAGAACTGAGTGAGTCCAGGGTTTGCAGATCCACTTTAACATGCAATAACAGCTGCAGGTATTTTGTTTCTGTTTTTATTTATTTTACACCAAAAAGTTGTTTTTTGATTACCATTTTTGAAACGACATTAAAAAAAATGAAGCTTTTTTTTATCTTTATAAAATAACTTAATTTCATACAGATTGTGTGAACATGAATTTTGAAGTCCCACCATAGATCCTCAGTTAAATTTAGGGCTAGACTTTGACTGTGCCATTCTCACATTATTTTTGCTTTAATATAATTCATTCTTTCTCAGCTGGTTTAGAGTCTATTGTCTAGCTTAAATCCTTTATGGCTCTAAAGTATTTTTTCTCTATATTGTCTGAATGTAAATTAATCAAAAATATAAGAGTAATAATTAGGTGGCATGCTGGTTATTTGTTGCACTGCATTTACGCTTAGAGATATTTAAGTAAAAGTGTATTAGCAAAAATGCTAACCAATCAGACTTTTATTTTGAAACTATGCATCCTTTCTTCCCTGCTTCACAATTATTACACATTATGCTGGTCAAACGCCCAAAACAAAAACGGATACATTGACATCAGATATTGTCATGTTTTAAAGCAAAGTATAATTTCCCCTTGCTCCTTGAGCTGGTCTGACCTCAGAGCTCTTTTCCCAGGAATGGGTCCGATCTACATGAACGAGGTGAAGTGTGTCGGGAACGAGAAGTCGATCTGGAACTGCCCGTTTAAAAACATCACGGCGGAGGATTGCCAGCACATGGAGGACGCCGCCGTTCGCTGCAACATCCCGTACATGGGCCTGGAGAACTCGGTCAGACCGAACCGTCTAACCCACATGTTCATGTTTGGATGCTTCACGTCACATTGTTTGGTTTTATATTAGCAAGTAAAAAATGACTTACTGAGTTTTTTTTAGTTGTTTTAGATTTTTATAGAACAGTAAAATGGAAAAACATCTGAAATATCTATTCTTCCCATTCCTTTTAGTGCATTCATTTGTGTTTATTACCAAGTACATCTTAAAGAAAACTTTAATATTATGAAAAAGTTCAATAATTGCCACCTTTCAGAATGTGAAACCTAAATAGATTTATTACATGTAGAGAGAAATATTTACAGCCTTTTTGTCTTGTTGACCATGGAGAACAGATAAAACCCAAAATTCAGTGTCTCAGAACATTTGAATGTTACTTTAGATCAATTAGAAATGTCTAATTTGCTGATTGGGGTGTGTCTCTATGACTCTGGTAATATATGAATTCAGCTTCTGAAGTCACAAAAAATATACATTTTCACAATATTCCATGTTTTTTAGATGTACTTGTACATAGATTTGTTACTCTAACATTCGTCTGTTGTTACAGAAATGTTAGATGCAAAGCTAACAGCAGCAGCTAATGAGCTAGTTAACTAGTTAGCTAACTACAGAAGCTAGTTAGCTAGTTAGCTAACTGCAAGAGCTAGTTAATTAGTTAGTTAGCTGCAGGAGCTAACTGTTGTTAGCTAACTTAAAAAAAAAACAACTCACATCTGTAACTTACTAATATTTCAACTTTTTCCAAATTATGCTCCTAGAAAAACATATCTTAAGGTAATGTATTAGCGAAGGCATTTTTAACAGTACTTAATTTTCAACATGAAGTATTTATACTTGCACAGCTTCATGTTTCTTATTAACCTGGTCTCCAGTAAATAGTGACACAAATGTTTTGTGTAAATACTCCATAAAATTTCCCCTTTTGTCGGTGAAATGAACAAAAATCTAATCTTCAGTTGTAACTTTGAGCTTTTACACAAAACATACAGAAATATTTCTGACCAAACCCAGAGCTTCCTTTAGTTTCAGGAGGATTTCTGAGGAATCTGCTTCGTCTGTGTCTGCGCTCTGCTTTGCAGCATGTAGCCTAACCCCTTGGTCTCGCACAGATCCGGATCACAGGTGGACGGAGCCGCTTTGAGGGCCGCGTGGAGGTGCTGAGCTCTGACACTAACGGGACGGAGAGCTGGGGTCTGATCTGTGGTGAGACCTGGACCACCAGGGAGGCCATGGTAGCCTGCAGGCAGCTGGGTTTGGGCTATGCTAACCAGGGCCTGCAAGTAGGTTATTAACAAAGACAATTTGCTGCTGCAAAGCAAATGTTTGCTTTCTTTTGGTTTATATTGCATATGCAAATGTAATGTACTGTCAGATGGGCAGGTTTTTTTATGTTATGGTGCGTTCTTCCTTCCTGAATATCCGTGACAGTGTGGTTAGTCAACATTTTACTGAGGAACATAACATTTAACCTAATATAATTGGACCTGTATGTATAAAATTTTGAGACTATGCACAATAATTTGAAACATTAGGACTCTCTTCTTGTTTTTTTAAATGTATTGAGGTAGTTTCTTGCAGAATTCTTCCACCACGCAAAAAGAACTGTTCAAATCTATCCTTAAGGAGCTAAAACGTATCTGACATCCACGGCCACGTTGAGGGTGTGTAAACTTTCTGCTTCTGTTCAAAGAAAAAAAAAAAGCATAATTTCTGCCTGACTCTGAGGTCTGACTGCAGCCTGTTTGGCAGCAGCGACTGCAGTGTGTTTACCGTCACGTAACAATGTCTGGGAATCTAATGTTGTGGGTTAGCCGCTACTGATGTCTGTGGATTTACTGCGCAGTCAAATATACGACACTGGGACTCATTTAATTACATCAAGAGGTTTTGCTTAATTCAAATGAGAAATAAATGTAGTTTTTAAAAGATATATATTTTCATTATTAAAGCTTCAGTATGTGACTTTTATAAGAAATATTTTTTACATAGTTGTTGAAATTGTCACCATGTTGCGACAATATGGCAATAGAAAACCTGCGAAAAACTCAAGTTCCTCTGCCTTTTTGTAGTCCTGAATAGAAACAACCAATCAGAGAAAGGAGGCGGGCCTTAGTGCTGTCAATCACATAGCTCGATGCTACGCTAATGCTAAGGCTAGTTGGCATAGCTACCAATGACAATAGATAAATGGTTTTTCTGTGACAGTAAAAATTGTCTCCGCCATTAGCATATTTAGCAGGGCATACATGAGGTTGATTGACAGCGCTAAGACCCTCCTCCTGTCTCTGATTGGTTGTTTTGGGGCATTTCTTTAAACAGCAATAGTACCTCAGAGAGGAGCTTCTCACAACAAACAACAACATGGTCCCAGTTTTAGCAAATATGTTTATGGTTCTATACAGTATTATTATAATTATGTATATGCAATATACATCTTTCTGGACATGGAATATTTACATAGTCGCCACAGGCCTGTTCCATGTGGAAGAGCTAAAAATATCCCCATGCAGAGCTTCTAATCAAAGTCAGAGCTGCTCACCACTGTGACCTCATGTGGAAACCACGCCGATCCTCTCGGCCTCGGAAGACTAACCAGCACATTTTCCGTTGACTCCATATAAACACCGGGTAGTCTGTAGTTTAGACGGGTCGCAGACAGGACAGGAAGCGTGTCCCCCGTCTGACTTCCAGCAGGACGCTTCCGCAGATCCGGATAGCAGGCGGCCGAAGCAGCTACGAAGGCCGGGTGGAGGTTCAGGTTGGGTCCAAGTGGGGCACAGTGTGCAGCACAGGCTGGACGACGAAGGAGGCCTTGGTGGCCTGCAGGCAGCTAGGGCTCGGCTACGCCATGCACGCCGTCACCGTGAGTAGGAGCTGAAAAAGTGTGCCACAGCTAGAAAAAAATGTTTGAAGCCGTTTCACCCCCCACTAGATGAGATAAGCAAGCAAGCTAAAACACTTAGCAACGATAGCTCATTATTTTTCACATCTGATTATGCTAAATTGATTGAAAGGTAAAAATTTGCACCAATTAGTTGATGAGGATTGGAGTAAACAACTCAAATATTTGGAAATTATTTTATATGAGGGATGATTACAGTAGAGGTTATGAGAGTCTTTCACAAAAAACAGAACTAGTAAGTTAAAAATGAATGTTTTAGTTGTTTAATTGAGATATAAGGTCAGTCACAATAACAATTAAAAAGCATAATTCTAGGCATTGTGAAAAAAAATACTTGAATCTTCTGATTCTTAAGTTAAAATCATTTGACTTTCTTAATCCCCAAAATAAATCCAAAGCACAGAAGTATATTATACATCACCTCAAAAAATATATATTCAGACCACTTCCAAACTTTTACGATACGAATGTCAATATAAGAAAAAAAAACTCTTTTGACAAACCAACAGAAGAAAGCAGGTCTTTGTGCGGCCATGTCTTTGTACCACTTTAGTTTTAGTTCATGCAAAGACTAACAAGTGACAGTGGGGGGCGCCATCTGATGTGCTAACAGCAGAGCTCAGTTTTAGCTTAGCGCTTTAGCGTTTTTGCTAACTTTGAAGACGTTTAGTGCAATTAGCTTCCAATAAATGAATTTTTCCAGATAAATTTTAAAGTGCTAATTCTGACTGTTTTGTAAACTTCCAGTTCGATAAAGTTTGACTTCTGTGTTGACGTTTTGGTTATCGACTGTCGTCACGTAGCTAGCCGTTTATGCTCACGCTTTTTACCGTGGAAGTGGGTGAAGTTTGGTTTTCCCTCCTCACTTTCTCATTTTGTTTTCCCCAATCACTTGATCTAGAACAAAATAGAACGGACAGAAGAATATTAGATATAAACGTAAATTCAACATAATAGACATAATATCAACGGAAATCCCAGTGTAATACCTTAATGCATGTGGTTGTGTTGTACATAAATAACTTAATTAAATGAAGCGATGTGGCTTTTGTATTTGAGTAAATATTGAATCGGTATTTGGTTTATTGGGTATTTATTAGCATCTTTAGCGTTATTTTAAATTGAAGCATTTTTTCCAGCTGAAGGTTGTCTTGAACATTTTGTCTCCAGTCAGCAGCCAAGTCCTGCACATCTGGTTTACAGAGCAGCCACATAAAACCTGAACTCTGAGGCGCCGCATGTGAATCTGTCCTGATCACCATGCACCGTTTCTCTCTCTTTCTTTTGTTTGTTCGTTTCTGTGTTATGGTTTTTGTTGAACCGCCGGTAAGGAAACCTGGTACTGGGACAGCAGCAACGTCACAGAGATGGTGATGAGCGGCGTGAAGTGCACAGGAAGTGAGATGGCTCTGAGCCAGTGCCAGCATCACAAAACCGTCAATTGCCAGAAAGCAGCCGCAAAGTTTTCAGCGGGAGTCATCTGCTCAGAGAGTGAGTTAAAGCCCCAGAATCAGCCAGAAGGGGGCAGTAACGAGTTACATTTACTGGAGTAACTTTTAATCACTTTCAGGAGTATTTTTACTAACGCGGTACTTTTTACTTTGACTTGATTAATTTTATGATGTTGGTAACATTATTAAATGAAGAACAAACTTATTTTAACCATTAATTCACCACAAACTTGTAGTTTTTGTCAAAGTTTCATAAGTTTTTTTCTTTTGCCTCATTTTGTTATCTTGTAATTATTCAATGAATTATTTTCATTTTGGTCCTTAAAATATGAAAACTTCCCCATAACTTTAGGTTTTGGTCCATCTGATGTAATTTTTAGATATTAAATTGTTCGTGTTTTGATCAGTTAGTCAGTACTTGATTGGCCTTTTTTCTAAATACCTTTTTACTTTTGCTTGAGTAAAAATACAACAGGAAGTATCTTCCACAATAATTCACGCACATTTCTTTTTAAAAGTATTTCTCATTTATCCACATATATATGCTTTAGTATGAAATGTTGAGATGAGACAACCCCTCAGCCCAGTCTCTGTTGCCCCCTGTGCGTCCAGCCGCCTCCGACCTCGTCCTGAACGCCTCCCTGGTGGAGCAGACGGTCTACATCGAGGACCGTCCTCTGCACATGCTCTACTGCGCCGCCGAGGAGGACTGCCTGTCCAAGTCTGCGGCCAAAGCCAACTGGCCGTACGGACACCGGCGGCTGCTCCGCTTCTCCTCCCAGATCCACAATGTCGGCCGGGCCGACTTCAAGCCCAAAGCCGGGCGCCACTCATGGGTGTGGCACGCCTGTCACGGGTAACGTACAACGTAAAGTCGGATATGAAGACAAAACGAGCAGGAAACAATGAAAAATATGACAGAGCAAACATATTATTATTACTTTGTGTTTTTGTGGTCAGTTAAAATATCTTTTGAAGGAAGAAAAGAAACAAAAACAGCCACTTTTAGTGGGATGAACTGGATCTGCGCTTACTCGTGTTAGAATGGCCTAATCAAAGTTTCTACCCGTGGGCTCAATAATGTGACAGATTTTTCTGTTTCTTTGTTTGTGAAGTGATTGTAAAACCTTTAATCTCTTTTCTACCTTGACATTTGTGGTTGTAACATGACAGAAAATGTAAAAAAGTGAATATTTTTGTCAGAGCTTCAACTAGTTCATTAACTGCTGCAAGTTTCAGAAAAGAATAGAGCAACGTAGCAACAAAATACCACAACTTTCAACATTATGTTGACCCTAAAGTGGACGATTTGGTCTAATTTGTGCCGCTCCGACTTTTCACTCAGCCACTATCACAGCATGGACGTCTTCACCCACTATGACCTGCTGAACGCCAACGGCAGCAAAGTGGCAGAGGGCCACAAAGCCAGCTTCTGCTTGGAGGACACAGAATGTCAAGAAGGTCAGTCTCATGCTTTGACTAGACGAGGTTACAATCTGAAAAAAATAAATAAATAAATTATCATTGTCACCCAGCGAAGAACTTTGCTTATGACTGGAAATGATACAGATACTTATTTATTTGTATTCCATTCATGTGAACAATTTATGTCCTTCTCAGTTCCTTTGCTTGTGTTCTCTGATGAGCTCTAAGTGTTAAAGCTGGTTCAACTCCATCAGAGGTGAATGGAGCTTTTCCAGTCCTTTTGACAACCCAAAGCACTTTATTAACTGATTGGTACCAACATGTGGCAAGAGGAAATGAAATCAGACCCACAACGTTCCGATTGGAAGACAGTAACTCTACCTACCCACTGAGCCACAATCTTCCATCTAAAGATTTTCAATTAACTCTTTGGATCTACAGCATTGATATCACTTACAGTCTGAAGAAACATCCTGATTAAACCTAAATCTGCCAACGGTGTGAATAGTTTGGGTGAGCCGCGAGCGTTCAGTTGATATCTTTCCTCCCACGCTTTATCCGTGTCGATCAGGTGTTTCGAAACGATACGAGTGCGCCAACTTCGGCGATCAGGGCATCACGGTCGGTTGTTGGGACTTGTACCGCCACGACATTGACTGCCAGTGGCTTGACATCACAGACGTCAAACCTGGAAACTACATCATGCAGGTGAGTGTGTGGGGTTTCATTTGGAGCATGCAGCCGGCCAGGCGCCGGCGTGACCATGTTGTATCGCTGACTTGTAGCCAGATCTTTCTTCCTTCAAATTCTCTGATAACTAAGAGACAGAGTTGCACACTGGTCACAAACCATCAACTCATCAGCTGCTGCTACCAGGCCAGTTCCTGCCAGGCTATTTGAAATTGGGGTTAAAAATAGAGGACCGAGTATTAACCTTTGGGAACCAAAGGGTTTGAGACCATCCAGATTTTGCGTGATATTGAAAGTGGTGTCAATACAGTGTGAAGGGTCACTATGCACCTATAAATCAACTGGTTGATAAATTGGCTCTTTAATTTTGGGTGATCGACAGTCAGCCGATACTTTCATGTGAAACCGATCTTATCCAGTGATCTTACCTACCTCTGCAAAGGTCTGAAAATCAAAAAATTGACATCGGTAAGGATCTTTTTTAAAGATCAGGTATTCAGCCAGAAAAATGCAATTGTTGCACCCCTACTGTAGACGGTACTTGAAGTCTAAGCTGTTGTCTCATTCAACATGACATGGTTGTTATAGTTCAGGATCTTTCTACAACAATCTCTCAATGACGTTGAGATGAATTTTAAAAGTTGAAACCTTTGATTGATTAATTCAGAGTAGCCAGTCGTCATCATCTATCTCTGCTTTTCTCACCCGCTCAGGTCGTGATCAATCCGAATTACGAAGTGGCTGAGAGCGACTTCACAAACAACGGCATGAAATGCAACTGCAAATACGACGGACACAGGATTTGGCTCCACAATTGTCACATCGGTAACCACTCAGGAGCGGCCAAACTGTCCAAACTTGGCGTAAAACATGTTGAAATTCACTAAAGCTGCCACCTTTCTAATGTCTTCCAGGCGACGCATTCAGTGAGGAGGCAGAGAAAAGATTTGAGAAATACCCCGGACAGATAAACAACAGGATCTCCCAACTGTAGACGCCGCCTCCATTGTGGGACGGATGAATAAAAATATGCCCCTGTATTTCTTTTTGTTTTCAGGTGCTTACATGAATCCCTATATTATTCCTTCATAGTTGTTTTTATACTTGAAAATTCAAGTGGTTATGATTATGTCCTCTAGTTTATTGTGAGTTTGTACTTTCTTTTTTTTTTTTTTTACAAATTCAGATTTTATAGTTTTACAGTCGATGTTTGACACAATGTGCAGTCCTCTATTGAATGTTTTAGTTGCAAGGCCTGAATGAAGCTTTAATGTTTTGGTTTTAAACGTATAACCAGATTTATTTGCCTTTAGTATGCAGAGTCCAAACATGGAACCCAATAAACTCATATTTAGTTTGTCTTAAGCAACCAAAACATGATGCAAAACCTCATAGATACACTTTCTGGAAAGATGGAAGGAGCTAAGATACAGAGGTATTTTAGCTCCTTCCAAACTCAACAAACTGATTGAGTTTGTGGTTTCAACAAAAAAAAATTTAAATGGTAGAACTTCTTTTTCAAGGCACTGTAACCCCAGGAAGGGAACAAATTTACCAAGATGCAGTTTTATCACCAAACTGTATCTACTGTACAACTATTGTTTTACTCCAGTAAGCATTTTTGCTACAATTTGATCAGTAAATGGTGATTTAAATGCAAAATGCAACATCCAGGCTTTCTGTCTCCCATCCCAGTTTTGGTTTTGCAAATTTGAGCTTCTTGTATGTTAGAACTGCTGCAATATTTTGTGAATGTATTTATTTCCAGTTTGCGTTTATCAGCAAGTTTTCTCTCCAGTTCAAAGCTGTGCGTCGTTCCAGGCTGGGTTTAGCTCAGCCTCGTAATCACAGACGTTCCTCTGCATTAGCAGAAAAAAACCCTGAAGATGTGTGTATGTATTGCTGATATAACCGCACCTGTTGCATCAAATAAAACTCAATTAAATGATAATTCTGCATTTATTTTTTTTAATATAATCAGTTTCCTGTTTTAACCTCATCTTCAGATCTCGGAATGTGATTAAACATGAGTGATGTTCTGACTCTGTCTTCCTCTGGTGTTTATGGGTTCATCCCAATCCACTGATAATCCTAGTCTTCAGTGACCATGGAGGGGCAATCCAATTAACCTCTCTTACCAATCATATTAACCGTGTGCACAGCTTCACACCAGATTACTAACTCCAGTATATATGAAGCAGCGGTCTTATTATCCACCAGTTGTAATAGAAGTAATTCTAATCCAGTTCAGATTCGTCTAATGTTGTACAGTACAAAATGAAAGAGTTTCTAGTCCCGTTCTCATTGACTACTTGGGATTAAAGGTGTTATTTGCTCAGAGGCTGAGGCAGGTTTCTGGAGGGTTACCTCAGATCATCCTCATCCCATAAACATGCTAACCTAGCCAGATGGAAGATTAGCAGGTGAGTCCGTGTTGGTTTGAGGTCGTAGAGCGCCTCTTGGCGTCCAAACAGCAGAACTGCAGGAAGTGTTTGGGTTGCGTTGCCAAACTAAAGTTCAAGAAAACTTGTTTTTTAATATAAGAACTTAAGCTGTTTTTCATGATTATTCAGAAAGTGTTCAGTCTGTAAGCTCCTCTATGTCTGCTCTTTCTTTGTCTTGAAGATGTTCACTAATTTTCTCTGAGTTATAAAATAAAAAACTGACAAAGCTAGAAAAAAAAAAAGAAAAAACTTTGCATTTTGTGCAGTTCTGTTTCCTAATACAGCTATAAGAATATGTCAGAATTATTTTGCAAATATCTTTCTGACATATTCTGACAGAACATGCCTAACGTTTAGAAATCAATAAACAAAGTCTGATGCACGTTACATATCACGTTTTAAAACTTTTATGTTGAAAAAGAAAACATTTTTACAATAATATACACTTCCGGGTGCAGGCATGAAGTGGCTTTCAGAAAACTTGAAATGGACAACAAAAGTCTGATCAGAGTCTTGATGGGGGGAGAGGAAACACACACACACACACAGACGTGAACTTGGGTGTTTCACTGCAGCACTGTCCTTTTGACCACTTTCCCCTCTTTGTCGATGGCAAAGTTGTAATTCTTTGGATTGTCCAGCGCCTCCTCGATTCGCTGATCCAGGTTCTCCAAGGTGACGAAGTTCTTAGCCTCCTCCTGTTAGCATTCAAAACAGATATCACTGTGAGATTAACTGGAGTTTAATATTTCCTTTGTTTTTTTTCTCCTGGCTTATTGTTTGTTTTACTGACTATAACTGAGGCTTGTGTGTGTGTGAGGTGTTTTTACCTGCAGCTTCAAAATCTCTTCCTCTTTTTGCCTGATGAACTCCTGTTGCTCCTGTTCCCGCTGAATGGCGGCTTCCGTTTTCTTCCTCTCAGCTTCCTCCTCTTCCTGTTGGATCCTTATTATTCTAACATGAGAGGATTGAACCGAGTTGTTTAATTGAAACAGACAACATCCTAATCTTGAATTGTTTCTTATCGGTCTTCCCTACCTGGCCTTCAGTATCCGCAGGTTTTCCTGATTATTCCAGTCCATCAGGGCGCGATGCTCCTCCTCTTCCTGCCTCGCCCTCAGTTCAGCCTGGGAGCCCATCTCCTCCTCATACTTTTTGCGCAGCACCCCCTCCTTGAACTCCATCCTGACAAATGAACACCATTTTAAGTGTCAAGCCAGCATCATGTACTTTTTAGATCAGTTTTTTTTAATCTGACAGATATATATAGTGACAATCTTGTAATTCCTTAATTTCTTGTTGTGTTTAAAACTACTGACTCGGTCAAATAACATGCAGGACATTATTTCTGTTGCACGTGCAATAGATATTAAAGGGGAGGGCGATCTGAATCCGAAATCGTTTGGCCAAGTCTAAAAACGTAAATAGTATTGACAAAAACCAAATTGGTGCACTCCTAATGAACATGAAAGAGAAACTGACCCTTTTAAAAAAATACTATTGGCCTTTACTAATCAGTAAATTAACAGGAAATATGAGAGAGAAGGGAAAGACATGTACAGCACAGTAGCAGAAACCGGGAATCGAACCCGGAACAACCGGACCGAGGACAACAGCTTCTGCGCGCTACCAATTGAGCCACCGAAATGTACCCAATTAAACAATAATTTCCAAATGTGGGTATAAATATGTAAAGATTTTTTTCAAATTTTAATAATGAGTGATGCATGCGTTTTTAATGCAATATGCAAAATATAGGCACAAAATAACTGTTAAATCTGGTCATACTGCATTAATTTTCGGTTCAGTGCAACAGTAATTAACTTGGAATAATTCAACAGTGTTTCTGACCGAAATGTCACCCCTGACCCCCAGGTAAACGTACCGAAGCGCCCTCATGATGAGCTTGTACTCCGAGTATCTCTCCTTGAGCACCACCATCTCCACAGGGTCAACGGATACAGGCACTTTAATCCGTCCTTCTTTGGACTTGGCCACCGGGTCGCTGCGGGACTTTCGGCCCCGGACAGCCTCCACGAGCACGGCGCTCCTGGGCGCGAGGAGCCGGGCCGCCTGGACGCTCCGTCCGCCGATGACCTGGAACATGTCGGTAGCTGTAAAGACCTAGTTAGTAACTGTTCCTGATAATTTAAAGTATTGCAGTATTTAACTAGCAACAAAATTTAACATTGAGACGCAAGCGTTAGAGACACAACATGGCAGCCATGTTTGTGTCCTATGACCAGCGGAAGTAATCAAAAGACGGATGTTTGCTGGTTCTTTTACTGCCATCTGTCGGTGATGCTGATGTATAGCGCTTCGTATTGTTTAAAACTCTTGAGCTAGATATTTATGTTGAATATATTTTATTTGTCAAATTTTGTCGGCAAATATGAACTTTTATTTTTATTCACGATTTTAGTTTAATATATTTAAGCATACATTTTTTATATTAAGGAAAAATAACAAAATACGACACTGATTTTTACTTTGCCACCAACAGTGTAAGTATTTTGTGTAAATGTTTGAGAAAATATCTCAGTAAAGTATTTTTGAGGAGGGGGTTTCATGTTGCAACCACAAACAGTAATGCATGGTATGGCATTGTATCAAACTGACAAACAAATTGATAACCGTCAAGTGAAAGGAAGATGTATGACAGAGAGTACATTTTAGTCCAAATTTGCTTATAAAGATCCAGATGGGGTGCATATCCTTAATAGTAACAAATTGTTCTTGACTCATCTTGACTTCTGTGTTGTTTGGTGTTATTTTTATTATTACTCACAGGAAAAAAATCAGGCTTTCTTCTTCTTTCAGGGAAACATCTCCTCCACTGTTACACTGTCTGTGCCTTGTGACAGCTGAAGGACTGTGCTGATGATTCAATTCCCTAAGCGAAGTGAAGTACATCAAAAAGTTGCTTACTCGTGTAGTCATATTGCTGTATCTGCAGTCAACTGTGCATTCTGTTTCTTTCTTCGGGATTTAGAGTTATTGTTAGAAGTTATTCATAATGCTGCAAGGCCGTCTGTCAACTCAGTACAAATCAATAAGTGCTTTGGAGTGTCAGTCCTTCAGTACAGACACTATAAGTGGGAAGAGAAGCAAGTAGGATGCTTTATTGTTGTAGTTTGCTAAATTTCTCTTGCTAAACACAATATTTGTTTCTGGTGCCGTATGTTACATAAAACATATGAATCAGAAATCTCATGTTTCTCGTGCCAGATAATCCAGTCAGGTGACTAACAGAAGATGCACATGTCTTCTTTTATCTTTATGGTTAGGAGTAGGGCTAAACTTAAAATTAAACTTTAGACTTGAATACCTTGTAAGGATGTTTTAGATATAAATTAAAACACAAATACACAGATGCAGGTCAGTTATGTGTTTATTCAGCTTGTTGTTGGTTGTTACAAGAATAAGGACATCGATCGTTATGGTGCCGACTTTGTACGGTTTTCACAGGTGTAGATCTGAAATCAACCGACAAACAACAAGGGGCTCCCTTAGATAGAGCTGTCATGTTGAGATTTTTCTAGTTTTTAATGACTTAGAAGAGCAAATTTGGCACAAATCGTCTATAGACAAACAATTCCTCAAGACAAAACTTTCTAAATTTCATAGCATTTCCGTGTCTGGAAGTTGGGTGGTTTATTATACATCCAAAGAGCCAATTATTCAGTCATAAAGAGCAGATTCACTCAATTTTTGCACTACCATATCATAGAACAGAGTAGGTCGTGTGGTAATCAGTTTAAAAGAGATGTTTAAAGTTACTGCCTCTAAGTTATTACCGGAAAACCGGATGCAGGGCACTGCTTCACTGATTGGTTGAGTTCCAGGTGGAAAAAAATATGCAGCAGATAAGATCCAAGCATTGAGAGGTGACTGGATTTCTTTCCGCTTCCTTCACAAACAGTTGGTCAAATGTTCGGATACAGAGGGATCAAGAAAGTCCAGTGGCTAACTCTGCTGCTTGGACCTTAGCCTGCCTTAACGGAGAGGAACTCAGCCAAAGCAAAACTGCCACCTGCTATATTGTTACGTAACTAATGCAGTCCAGCCACTCTGTGTTGGACAGGTCGCCATCTTCATGATGTGTGGTGTCAGGACGTGTGTAGAAGAAGGGGGACTTCTTATGGACCTCTTGTTTAGCACAAGGGCGCTGCCGTCTTGAGAGAGATGAGTTTCTGTTTTTGGTATGTTTCTTGGAAGAGTTGATGGATGGTTGTTCTGAAGAGATTGAAGTTAGAAGAAAGGTGAGAGGGGGATAAAGAATGTTGGGGAAGGACATTTAAGGAAGAGAAAAGGGGGGCTGGGTTTCTCAAGATATCAGTAGGTTTTAATTTAGAGCTGGAAGGGAAGGGTAGGTCAGCCGAATCTCCTCCCCCTCCAAGAGTTTCCTGAAAGAGAAAAAAAGACAAACAGAGGATATGCATCAGATAGAACATGGCAAGTGAGTTTGCTTACTTAGAGCAAACAAAACAGTGTCTCACCGGTACGCGGCAATTTCAATGTCAAGGGCCATCTTGACGTTGAGAAGGTCTTGGTAATCTCTCAGGTAGCGCGCCATCTCTTGCTTCGCCTCAGTAATGTCCTGCTCCAGTTCACTTATCCTCACCTTCAAATAGAAAAAACACAGCTCCTCATCATCACAAATGATAGGAAAGTTACAATCATAATATAGCATTCTGATTCAGATTCATTCTTACCTGGTATTTCTCAACCTCCTTGGCCTGTGTGTCCTCCAAATCCTCCAGTTGTTTGTTTAGGGAGTTGATGACATTCCGGAGAGCTTCAATCTCAGATGAACGAGACTGAAGCAGCCTCCGGTACTCCATAGTCTCTTCCCGGATGGCGTGGACAGCTTCGTTGTTCTTGCTGGCCATCTCCGCCACACTCACAAACTTGCTCTTGTACCAGTCCTCGGCGGCCTGCATGTTCTTGTTGGCGAGCCGCTCGTACTGCGCCCGGATGTCCCGCAGGGCGGTGGAGAGGTCAGGCCTAGACAACTCTATGTCAACGCTGATGTTTGCCACCTGCAGCTGGGCCTGGAGCTCCGCTTGCTCTTCTGCAAAGACTTTCTTCAGGAAGACTATCTCGTCACACAGAGAGACCACGGTGGCCTCCGTGTCACAGTTGTAGAGGACGGCCCGGCTTGCCTCCTCTCTGGCCCTCTGCAGGCCCTCCTCGGCATCCAGACGGCGCCTTGCCTCGTCTTCATAGCGTTCCTTCATCTGCTCGTACACGTCCCGCAGGTAGTCCCTCTCTGCCTCCATCTGCATCTTCTCGTTGTTCTCTGAGTCGATCATGGCTCTCAAACTCCGAGATTCCCCCTCATAGAACCCCTGCAGCCGGGACGGGTCGTTCTGCCTCCTCCTCAATGCGTCCAACTCGGCCAGCAGGGCTCGGTTCTGTAGCTCAAGGTGTCTCACCTTCTCGATGTAGGTGGCAAAGCGGTCGTTCAGGTCCACAAGCTGCTCCCTCTCCTGGGACCGCATTTCCAGCAGCTCGGTGTTGATGGAGCTCACCTGAACCAGATCCATCCTCTGCGAGCCGTCCGGCAGCAAAGAGGATGTCGTCTTCAGGATCCTCTTTCCGGATGGAGGAGCTCGGGGAGATGAGTACAGAGAGGACGACATGGAAGACTTGGTTGTAGGTCGAGAGCCTTTGTAGCTGTCCCAAGGACGTCGGTGGGAGAAGAAGGACTCGTAGCTCATGATGATTTTTGTTGTGGGTTTTTTTTAGGGTTTTAAGAAAAAGATGTATGTTTTAGTTTCGGAAGGTTTTTTTTTTATGTCCCCCTTGTTCTGCACACCATCGGTGAGGATGAGTGTGCGTTTTGCACTGCACCAGTTCAGTGATGCTGCAGATCCGGAGCCTTTATAGAGTGAGCCTGCTCCCCCCTCCTCCTCCACAGAGAAACATCACTGGTGTCAGCATTTGCTAGACCAATAGCAAGCCTCTGCAGTGAAGAAGAGAGGAGGTTTTCAGACTCTCTCACTCTCTCTCTACAAGGCAGCGAGAGCCAGCGTGCCAGAGCCGATGATACTTTATTCTGCCTTTAAGAGGATTTTGAAAACATTTAGCTCTCATTTACTGAGGTTTTTTTTCCATGGTTATCTTTTATTTTTTCTCTGTTTCCTTCTGTCACTGCAGGCTTATGAGAAAATAAATCAAGCAACAGCAAATGTGAAAGAATTGACCACCTTTTACTGCAATGACATCCGCAAGTCATTTGGACCATCATTAAGAGGCAGACATTTTCTAATGTACAAAAACAGCTCAAGCTGAAGTCAAATTGGATGGAGAGCCTCTTTGGATGGAGAGCCTCTTTTCCAAGACTTTTTTACAGTTTATCAATTGGATAGGTCTGTGCAATTGACTTGGTTATTCTAGGTTTCAACACACCTTAATCAAATGGCTGGCATGCTAGATGGAACTAGCATGGTTAAATAACCATGATCTGCTGTATCTCTGACTGTATATTTAGGGTTATTGTCTGGCTCAATCTCAAGTCTTTTGCAGGATTTCCTTCTGTGTTGCCCTCTATTAAGTTGTGTTCATCTTCCCATCAACTCTGCCCAGCAGCTATCTGAACTTAGCCAAAATAACCTCACAAGATAATACTCCCACCACCATGTTTCAAGGATTGTGCGGTCTGAAAGGTTTTCAACCCAGTCAGGTTTTCTTCCAGTTAGTTCTGTAATTATCTCAATCAATCTTCCGTTCAACTTTATATTACGGTCAGATTTTAACACTGGTACACCTATAAATTGGTACACCAATAAACACTGATGAATTGGCCCCAATTTCCAGATTTTTTGTAGATTTTTTGTTATACGTGAAACCGATCTTATCCACTTCTTATTCACCCATATTTTCTCCAGATCTTATCTAATTTCACAAATGTCTGTAAACCAGCCACTGTCGTGCCATGACAGAGGCCTGACAGACAGACCCACCCACCAGGTCATGTCATTAACAATAGTCACACCACTGTTGCCAACTCATTCATATTTATGGAATTTTTGGACAAAAAAATTGTTATTGAAAAAAATCGCAATTGTCGGGTCATGTTTTTTAAAGATTGGTGATCGGCCAGAAAACAGCAAACGGTGCACCGCTGGAATTTAAGTGTGTGTTGAGGGAGATTCCATCACGCATAGCATTTTGCATGCAAGTCAGAAAGTTCAAGTCGATATTGTTAGGCAGATCCACATTTATTCAGTCTTTAAGAGGACTTTGTTTAGTTTTATTTCCTTACAACAGGGTTTGATGAATATCTCAGACAGTAGGTACATGGAAGGTGAAACGAGACAGCAAAGCAGGAACGCTTCTGGAAAATTACTTACATGTAATTGTTTTCTTACAATAGTTGACTTTAGACTTTCTACTACATATTCTGCCTCGTCTTTAAATGTGTTGTTAGAAGAGAGAACCCAGTTTTTAAGCCTCAGGTAACTTCTTTTCTCTTTACATGGTCTCTAACTTTGTTGGTGTCTACGTTGCTGCGAATACCCTTTCATGTTGCTTTTATGTCGTCTGTTTCCCGGGTGTCCAGATATATCCATTTGATCTAATTAGGTTGCAAACTGATGAGTCATTGATGCTCTTCAGCTGTCCTGACTCCGGCAGCGCGTGGGAGGCACGACTGATGAAGAAAGTGCAAGCTGTACCTGCTGACACACAGAACTCCCCCTCTCCTCTGCTGTTTATTCATTTACCAAAGAGTCAAAGTGAACGCATAAATCATTGTTTGTTGACGGAGAAGCAGTGAACAGCTAGGATCCTCTATAGGAGCTCGCAGGTTTATCAGTGGGCATGTCCAGACTGATGAACGTTGCCTCAACATGTTGTCAAAGCCGCTCTGTCTTTGTCGTGTTGCTCAGCAAAGCGTTGACCTCTTGACGTTGAATGGGAAAATCATTTGTTAGTGCAGGTTTTAATCAATACAGAGGAGTTTGTGCGCATCGCTAAGGTCACCAAAAATCATTTGAGTAAAAATTTGAAACTTAATATATTAGAGAAAAGCCACAAAGTGTAATTTTCAGAACTTTGTATTGTAAATTTTCTAAGCCTGACAAGTATTAATGTTTGAATAACTAATGAGCCAGCAGGTGGCGCCGTTGTACACAACTAGTGCAGCGGTACTGTGGCAACAATTCAGTCTTGTGGTTCAGGAAAAAGGGTATTGTTGTATAAAGTTGTTGTCAGAAATGTTCAATAAAACCTCTTTTTGACTTTTTGTCATCCTGTTGAACTCAAAAAAAAATTCAACAACTTATGAGTTGTGTATTTAAAAGGAAACGTGGCGATGTAATGTAGCAGAACCTCAGTGATTTACAAACTTTTAGACACCCCTTGAATTTTTTTTTTAGATTTCATTAAAACTACAAATGTTTTTGTATGATTTTAGTTGATAGATTAACACAAAGTGGTGTGTAACTGTGGAGAAAAACACATCAAAATCTAAAGAACTCATAATGCATTTCAGCCACTTTTAGTTGATAATTTGTAGACCCACCAACCCCACAGCATGATACTACCCCTACTTTACCGGCTGAACTGGACAGACTCCTTTAAAAATTGCCTGCCAGCACAGGCAGTTGACATAGATTGACAATGTGTTTTTTGTTTGTTTTTTTTACAAATAAAATCTCCCTAAAATAAAAAATGTCAGGTGGAACAGATTTTTTTCCCATTTATTTTTCAGGTTTCTGCACGCGTCTAAATTTTGTACTAGACAGAACCACAAACTTCCAGCAACTTCTGAGGAAGAGGACTCTCAAAAAACTAGAAATGTACATGAAAATCTCCTCTGTGCCATTATTAGCTGGCCCAATTGACTATTACAATTAACAGGAACTGATTAAATCCTAAATATTCTGGCACTTTCCAGAAACAGCACAGTGTAGAGATTGAGTGCAGGTGGATCGTGAGAGAGCAGTAAAGACTTTCCAGTTGTTTATTAGTTGATAAGCTACTCAGGAAAACTTTGTGTGCAAAGTAAAGTAAGTAAATAATATGTGAAAGTTTGATATTGTTTGTTGGATTATGCATACAAATAATAAACTGAGTTGTATTTAATTAGTTCATCATAGGATGTTGCATGACAAATTTGGAAGCAGGTTACTGATAGGTTATGTAAATTTGTCTATTTTTTTTTTTCATTTAAGATTCTGAGGTTAACTTTGATGCCAAGGATTTAGTTTACTCTTTTTTTTTTTTTTTTTTTTTACAAGTTTTGCACAATTTTTAAGTTGATAAAAGGAGCTTACTGATTATCTTTGCACAATTTATGTAACAAATAACCTAAGTGATGAACTTTCTTTTATTTATGTACTTTATAGAACCATAAACAAAGGTAGTTTAATGTGAACTAAAATGGGTAAAACCTAATAAAACTACTAAAACACAAATAAAGTCTCATGTTCAACAGGATGCCTGCAGCTTTCCAGTAAAAGTATCGAGTATTACCCCTTTATAAGAACTCTTTACCTATGACCCTTCTTGTTGCTGAGCTTAGACTAAAACAAGTTTTCTAGCCTGAAAAATCATCAACCAAAAAAGAAAAAAAAAATCTATCCAGATCCATGTTTCACAAAAATCTGACTATATTGCATTTTTAGATTATTATTGAGCAGCTACTTTAAAAAAAAAAAAAAAACTCCACAAGAAATAATTATTTTTGTTAATGAAAATAAAACGTCAAGTTGCTTTGAACTTGAATATCTTTTCCCGCGAAGTTCATATTCCACCATTTACAAAATAAACATGAGTCACTGTCGAGCCTAATTGCTGAAATAAACACGGCTATGAGTTGAATCAAATTTGCACCCAAAAGTAAAAAAAAAAAAAAGCAGGAAAAAATATTCTAAATGAAAAAAATTGATTTGGTTACATTAACTTTATTTACTATTTTAATATTTGGATGGCAAATCGTTGGGCTATATGGGTTTTGGACTATGTGGTAATAAACAATTGGATAAAACCAGTTGTTTATGAACATGTGATTTGTTATCCAGTAAACAAACATACTCAAATTAAAGGTTGGATTTTTCAAAGTTTTTGTGTGTGAGATCATATTATTGTATTAAAAGATGAATCTATTTAAGGCTTTTCAAACATCTTAATCTGTAGCAATGACGCTGTTGAAAGCTTTGAGCACTAGGGGGCAGACTTGTGTTTATAAAGTGAGCTCATTGCAGACGCTCTCTTTATGTTTGACCTCTGTAAAAAGTGCTCGGTTGGTTACAGTCAAAGTGTCATGTAGTCACACTTATCTGCAAATCACGTGTTTATTCAGAAGGTTTTAACAGTGAATATAATCCCCAGTGATACATCAGGTAAAAATAAGTACATAAAACGTTTCTATTGACACTTAAAGACTTTGGAATGTCAAGCTTTTCATCTCTAAAATTATTTATACATTTACAAGAATCCACATTTTTTCCCACATTAAAAAAAACATTTTTTCTTTCATTATTCTTGGACGCAAAGGGGGCAAAAAAATTGAATGTCATGTTAATTTTTTCCCCTCTATTGTACAATTAGCTTAAATTTGTAATCACTGCAACCCACATAGAATATAAGACATCCAACAATATAAACTGTCCAGAAAAATCACTTCGCGGTATAAGTTTCGATATAAAAGTGTATTCCTTTGGTAGAAAAAAACCGAGTTTATCTCAGGAAAATATGTGCTGAATGTAAGGAAGTGTTTGCATCAGACTCCTTGCGTCCACAGACCGGAGGACGACAGACATTCACCTAAAAAAGAGAGAGAGCTGCATATTCACTTCCGTTTGAGCTGGACACATGCACAGGGCCGTCTGTTTCGACTTCACATGGCAGCATGGAAGTGGTCATTCA